CTAATTTAGCGTTTGAATTTAACCGATACGATTCGAATATTTGCGATTCGAATTTCGTTTGCATGGCAGCACCCAGCAATGACATATGCAAAAAATTGATGAGCAGGCTACTTAGTACTTGTGGGCATATACTTCAGGAAACTACGGGTGGTGACTCCACTACGACCCATAGGCCGGGCCACGCCATCTAATTGGGCCACATGAGCCGTGGCATCAAGCTATGGGGGCCCCGTCAGGAAAAATTCAATTATCTTACAAAATTTTCAATTTTTACAAAATTGTCATATTCGAACCAAAATAAACTCCTGTTAGTATGTGTACCAGGTTAGGGTTAGGGCAAATTTTGTTCAGATTTGTTACATTATAGTTCTATTATGAGTTTGGGAGTGTCTGTGTTAGCCAAGTGAATAGTTCCTTTACAACTTGATGGGCCGCGGTCCATAGCCTGATGGCCGTGGCCCGGCCCATGGGCCGAAGGGTCACCACTTCCACTCTCAGGAGAACCTATTTCTGTATTAAAGTATTACTGTATTAGGTGATAACAATATCAAATATTTTTATCAAACTGTGAAAGAAAAAGTTCAATAGTTTGAGATTGAAAGTCTGGAAGTCTCTGCCGTTTGTGTTTCTCCACGTTTTTTAGTGTGACAGTTCAAGTGAACAATAATTTCTTCACAGCCATTTATCATATAAATGTAGAGATGTTTGGTCAGAAGTCAGGATTCGGTTCAGGTTTTGGCTCAGGAGGTAAGTTTTATGTCACAAATCCACAGGTTTATTGATATAATTACCTGCTCGCACGATAGACTATGCTCGAAGAGCAGTGCACTGCTTGTGTAGCTACTACCATTGCTGTATTCTATATGGCATCTCAATAACATCCTTAGATGGTATCTAATAATATAGCCATATTTAAGTACACTGATTTCAGCACTCTAATTACAAGAATAGCCCCCATAATGAAAGACATCAATTATAGCAGTAAGTGCAATTCCTGCCTTTGCGAGACAGTTTTTGGCCTCCCTATCGGCAAAAATGCTCAAACCGGCACTGTTCTATAAACTAAAACAAGTGCAATCGAAAAACATTATCATTAAATTCTTCAAAAAAAAAATCTGATTTACCGAAGGAAATAAAATTTTACAGTAGTATTAGAGAATTTTTATGCAAAAAAACGCATTTCGTGGCAATGGCGACTACAATTAATTAAGATAATTATCAGATAAACATGGCGTATCTGCCGTTGTGCCAGACTCTTTGTTTTATTGAAGCAAATGTTAGGCACCTTGGAATCAAAAACTGTGCCCTACTGTATTTATACTCAGGATTCAAACTCATAGTTCCTTAACAGCTGATATTTGGTTATTATGCTTTCAAATTATTAAGCATGTGCATTACCATGCTGTCTTGCCCAGATTATTATTGCAGTATATTCGAATTTAGGGTTTGGAACCAATAATTCAGGTTTTGGAAGTACAAGCACAACTGGAGGGCTATTTGGAAATAAATCAACTACATCAGGTGGCTTGTTTGGCACAAGCACGCCAGCATTTGGGGCAAATAAAACCGGTATAAAATTTTTTACTGTATTATGATACACTTCAAAAAGTCTAATAATTTTGTTGAGCATGCTGTCTCAAACTAAGCACACTCAAGTGCTGTAATGGCAGCCATTTATTATATCTTCAATCAATGTAAAAAAAACTATAGGACCATTTTCAATCACTTCTTTTATAATTGCCTGAGCACATGAATTTACCAGCATTGTTTGATCTGTTTATATGTATCTTGATTCACTGTATCACATTGTCACCAATGCCAAATCAATGTAGTTTTCATGGTTTTTGACCCTTCTCGTCACCTTATCACATTACATTACAAATACACACATTATCTATGTACCAGATTGAATTGGTCCTTATTAGCTTGAGTTTTAAAATTAAACAACAGCCCGAAAGTTCATTACATTCGCGGATTTTGTGTGTTTATTTCTTGCCCAAGCCTTGTTCAACAAAGTTTGTGTTTTTTTGTAAATGCGTGTTGGTGAGCGGGCACATGATACTCATCTTATTTTAAACTTTTTTAAAGGTTTTGCTCGCTCTCCGGAATTCTTCATTTTTTATTCGTTTGTATTGTCAGATTGTGGAGTTTTCGAAATAAAACTATCTATCTGTCTTCTTTATTAGTCTATTGTATTCGACTAATGAAATTGGTAAAATGCTAATGTATCGCCTATTCCTCGAAATTCTTATTAAAAAAACTTTGTGAAGTGATTTGACAATAGTTAGGAGGATATCAGCTTTTTCCATAAAGTTTTTCCATAAAATATTTTTCATACTTTTGCAAAGCATTATTATGTTATACATATTAGAGAGGTGCTGGTTATTAAAGAGGGGGGAAAAGTGATCATAACACAGACACCTCAGCATTCGGGAATAATCAATCTGTTTCTATTTCACCAGGCTTCACTTTTAGTCAGTTGGTGGGTTGTTTGGAACTCCAACATCTAGCAAACCTGGAGGTTTGTTTGGACACCGGCAGCTACAGGTGGAACAAGTGCATTTGGTGGTAATTCTGCTTTTGGAAGTACAAGTTCAGCTTTCGGCCAGCAAAAAACTGGAGGATTGTTTGGTAGCACAGGTGGAACATCCTCATTTGGATCCACAACTACTGGAGGGGGCCTTTTTGGTATGTTATCCATAATACTTGTAAAGTTTTATATGTAAATGATAATTTTAACATATGAATGACTGTGAGTCTGTCACCTCATCTTGTACTTGTAGATCAAATTTTAAATTTGACTTTGACTTGAAGTTCCTGTTTCATCTAGTTCAGTGGTTCCCAACCGCCGGTGCTTTTTTGCCAGTTTAAACCAGAAAACGGTCAAAACAGTATTTCAGCAAGATATGAACTTGTTGCGACCCTGCAGGTGGTCATGTGACACGCAAAAAAAAAAGGCCACAAAGATCTTTTCCAGTATTTTAAGCCTGGTGCAAAGTTACCGACAACTTTGTCATTGTAATGTAAATTCATTTTGTTTGAGGCGTCGATCAACCGCAGAACTAGGTATTGCAGAAACTTCTTTGAGCCCCTTTTGCAATCCTATATTGGAAAATGAAACAGCAGCAAAATGCTCACTAGAGTTAATTGCGTTTGTACATGATTAAGCATGTACTTGTTCTTTTTATGTGTGATGTTTATAAGTGCCTTCCTCACGCATAATGGATGCCCAGCACTGCATTTCATTACTCAAATATATGATTTTATTTTATGTTTCACCCATTTCAATTTTTGGGCCGCATATTATTTGATAGTTTTTCTTCGTGTGAAATGTTTTTAAGTGTGACTATTTTGTCTAGAAGCATATTGATTTCAATTTTACTGGCCCGCCAGGGTAGAACTGTTAGGAACCACTGATCTAGTTATCTTAATCTTATGTGAAACTCAAACTGTTTGTTTTTGGTTGATAGGATTTTCATCTGCTCAACAGCAAAATGGCACAGGAGCGGTTAAGTTCAACCCTCCCACAGGAACAGATACAATGATGAGATCGGGGCAGTCGTCTACTATCAGTACAAAACATCAATGTATCACTGCAATGAAAGAATATGAAGCAAAAGTTTTGAGGAACTGCGTGTTGATGATTACACTGCAGGAAGGAAAGGGGGTAGTGGTAGGTTGCTTCTGTACTTGGTATATTTTTTATTAGTGAAAATGTGAAAAAGATTTGACGTGATTATGAGTCTAATTAAGACTGTAAATTTAGGAAGATAAATAAATGAAATGAAAATTGATAGTTTGACTTATGATATATATCTTTGAAATTCAAATCAATTGTAGAAATATTCACAAACTGAGATTCTAGATATCTTTTAATTTGCTGGTTGCACACTCTGGAGAATTAAACAGCAGATTTCTATTTAGAAGAATCAGAAACCTCGCAGTTTACATGACATATTTATATTTCAATTGCTCGTCTGCTGGTATAATCAATTCATAACCTAATACTAATTGTAATGTCATCATGAGTATTGTAATTATTGGCTTTGCATCATATTTAATTTAAATTTCAGCAAATAAATCTGCATTCGGGGCAAGTTTCAGGAACAGGATTCAGGTTTTTGGGGGAGCAACCAATAATACTACAACATCTGGTGGATTATTTGGTCAAAAGTAAGTTTGTAATTTTGTTTATGTACGTATTTCACTTATACTTATTCAACTAGTTTTTGATGCGGCACTTATTTATTTGCTCCGAACACGGCTCTATATAAGCAACAAATGAGGAGTTATATAGGACTAATTAATTAAATTTATTTGGAAGGACTTGGATCTTTCCGTTTTGTTTCACCCTGGGTGAGGTGGCCACGGGATTTTGAATCTTAGATTTGTAATCTGCTATGCCAACACGGTTAAATCTAATGCCTCGCTTCATTTGGTGATCTTGGTGGTAGAATGACTATTTTTCTGTATTTTGTAGTAATAATTTTAAAAGTCAGCACTCTGTAAACCTGCAGAAATGTTTTCGGAGCTCCGGAAGTATGTGCGCCTAGATGGCGCACAGTCCTGAACATAGTATGTGTACCAGGTTAGGGTTCAGGTTGTGTACCATCTAGTGCAATACTTTGGGAGCACCATTTTTCCACTTTTTTCCTACTCACAATTCACAATCAGGCACATACAATAAATCTGTGTTAACGAAATAAGGCATTCTGGATTGGCGAATAGATTGGAATTTGCTACAAGGTAGAATCATATATAATACTCACTGAGAAAAAATTATTGTCTTTCAGCAAACTGGCTTTGGTTCTGGAACCCACTGGCGGTCTTTTTGGCTCATCTACAAGTTCCACCAGGTGGCAGTTTGTTTGGAAATAGTGGATTTGGATCAACAAACACAGCTACTACTTCTGGTGCTGCTTTTGGAGGTTTTGGTCAAAATATGGGCGCCAATAGTCTCTTTGGTCAATCTAAACCTGTGAGTTTGCATATTCCTGTTCTGCTGTCAAATTTCTTTGACAATCTAAATTAATGACTAGAGAAGAAATCAATGCTGTCACAAACTAAACTTCGTTAGCCAGTATAGTCTAACATTGTTATTATGACTACAGAATGCTGGTGGAATGTTCGGCAATACCAACACTGGTACAAACAACTGGCGGTATGTTTGGTAACACCAGTACAAGTGGTGGCTTCGGATCAACCGGTGGATTTGGGTGGTACCAGCGGATTTGGTACCAATTCTAATGTGAGAACAGTTTTTTATCAAGATTATGGTTACAATTTTCACAGGCTTTATTAAAAAAAATGGTTATATCATGAATCAGATTTTATTTTACCTCCAACTCTTTCCTAGAATCTATTTGGAAATAAACCGGGGTATTTGGCACAGCCAGTACTCAAGCTGGTTCTACTGGCTTTGGTGGTGGCGGGCAGTTTATTTGGAAGCAACAACAAAACCACTACTGGTATGTTTTGGCAATACTACTGGTGGTTTCGGAACTGGGAATGCATCAGGATCATTGTTCGGTGGAAATAAAACAGCTGGTTTCGGAAACACCTCTGGATCCCTCTTTGGAAACACTGCAATACATCGGGAGGTTTGTTTGGAGGGGCAATAAAACTGGATTCGGAACGTCAAACCTTGGAGGTGGATTTGGAGCCTCGAACACAGGCTTTGGTGAGTTTTTACAAAAAAAATATTCATAAAAAGTCTGTTTGGTTGAAATAAATTGCCCAAAAATTATCTGAAATATTAGTAATATTGTTCGTTTATTTTATTTATGACTTCTGGGCAATTTGTTGAACCTCAAAAAATGATTTACTTTGTGACTTTACTACTGTATATTGGTTACTAGGATTATTGACCATCTATATACAGCATACTTTAATTTTTTGTTGTGATCATTTTATTTCTCTATATTTTCAAGTTATTTCGTCAATATACCCAACTATGAGGTAGCTATAATAATTTTTTCTAAGTAGATTTAACACTGATACAGGTGTTAGAGACTACTAATATGTCAAGGGCTGCAGCCTCAGACCAGAGAAACGGACAGTAAAAATGACCTGCTAGCTGTCATTTAAAACCCATGCTAAAAATAACCAGGATTAAAATGTTATCTCCTTATCCTAGTCACAATCAATCTATACCTACATATTTTTAAGGAAATGCATCTTCAGGATTTAACTTTTGGTGGAACAGGAGGTACAAATGCTGGATCTGGTTTTGGAAACGCAAACAATGCCGCCAGCGAACAATCAACTCCACTCTTGGGTCATCGGGACAGTCATCTGCTGAGATTTCAGCAACAATTGGCAGGCTTTATTGACAGCTCCGTTTGGGTGATTCTCCCTTGTTCAAGAATCCTGTGCTCGACCCTGCAAGAAAGAAAGAGGTAAAGTCAAATATTTGTATTGTAAAATGACCGTATCACAAGAGATTTTAGATGAGTGAATTTCTCTATGAAACTTGGTTATTGTGAAGATTGTGCATTTTGTAGTTTATAGTTATATTTTCACAGCATCTAACAAGTATTTATTCCTATATCTAGAAATAGTTGTGGATCTGTATGATTAAAAACCAATTCTTTTTAAATAATTTTTAGGTTCTCAAGCCGACGAAACCCTGCGGCTCAAAAAGCTGTTGTATCACCATTGTATAGAGTATCACCAGGTCCAACAACAAAAATTAAACCCAAAGCTTTACAAGGTGGATTATCAAACTCACCTGCACTAGGAAAAAATCACGATTGTTCGCAGGTCTTCGGGACGAAGAAGAATCAGTCGTCAGTAACAGAAGTTTCATTGGAAGGTTGGTTGATTTAATTGTTTGTTTTAGCCGGGATGTCCAAAGGCAGTGAAGGGAATGGAATATTTGAATACGTTTAAATTTGGATACTATATTTAATCCTTCAATGTATTACATATTATTTGAAAATAGTTTTATTTTTGAACTTTCATTATATTTAGTGTTTAATATCCAATGTTTGAGACATAAAATATATATTTCACTATTGATAGTGTAAAAGTAGTAATTTAATTAGAACATTTTTCATTCAAATGTTTCGCATTTCAACTCATTTTCTATAAAATTTTTTGTATTTTTGGAAACTCATGTTTCTGTGCGAATATGACCCAATTTGGTATTCCATATTAAAAATAATTCGGAATTTCTAGATTGTTAGGTTTTGTTGAACTCTGCTTTTTGTAAATTTGGTTTTCACCATTTTCTTTTTTGTGTAAATTATTCCCCATGTCTAATTAGGATTGTGCACATTTCATTATTTTCGGTTTTCTTTAATTTTTTTTTCAATTTATGATATCATATATGAGAATGGAATTTTTTCGGAAATATAGGCTTGTAGTAATGTTAGAAAAGCTATAATTTCTAGTTTGTATGGTTTCTGAATAAAGTTTCAACCATTACATTGTTCAATGAAATATAGCATTTCATTTAAATGGCTTGATCATATTTTGTTATCGTGCAGACTACCCCTGTAGCAAAAACCAGCTATAACACTTGCTTAACTTTTTTCTATCTACCTCAAAGCAGTACATACTTTTCAAATGCTTCCATAACTTTGTGTTTAATCATAACCCAACTTTACAGTCAGATGATTGTGTGGTTGCTGGAATGCCAAACTTCCGAGTCAATATAGTTTATAGGCGATTTAATATTCGCCAATATCGAATTTTGCAGTGAAATATCTCTTATTTAAATTAATTTCAGAAAAGTGTGAAGAAGCTGAGCATTAAAGTGACAGCATCTCCGCAAATGTACTTTAACAGGAAGTACGACACCTACAGGTGAAAGGTCATCAAGTCGGGCTTTCAAGTGCATCTGGGGAGCAGCAGCATGAAATGTATAAAATTCTAGCTATTTATAACTCAAAATTTAGCTTGTTATATAAAATGCTACAAATTTGAATTTGTTTTTTATGGAATTTAATTTTTATCTAATTTTCAACATGACATAAATGTCTTATTCAAAATGTAGATAATATTGATTGAAAACAGCAATTCTCTTTAATTTGAGGCTTCTATTCGAATGTCTATGGATTGACAATCATGACACATCTGAGAATTTGAGGAAGATCTAACATTCAATTTATAGTATCCAGTTGATCATAATATAATTTCATCATACGTTCTACTTTTATTTCTTAGTAATGGTCGTGGGCCAGGAGAAGAAACACCTGCTGCAGAACGAAGATCATCTCAAGTAATTTTTTATATTTATTTCAATATTTCTTTGGTACAGAAAGATGACATTTATATCTATGTCACACCATTGGCAAAATTTTATTTTTTCACATGTCAAAAAGATTCTGATCAATTTTAATACCATAATTGATTCACATTATTTGAGTTACGCAACACTGTAAGTGACGCCACCCCGACTCGGGGGTGTGGTGCATCATGCTAAGCGTTGGGAATACGCTCGCCACCGCACCTCTGATTCCCCTACGTGGGTGGGCAAGTTCGAATCCATGGGAGATAGTTATGTGCAAGAGGATAGCTGGACTCCTCGCCGCCGTAGGGGGGTTCACGTAACCACTGGTCGGTCACATCTTCCTCCACCACCAAGTTTATGCATTTGAAACGAATAACTGGCTAACTATCCAACATGGATCAGTATCCGGACGAGGGGCCGTGGCTGCCATATCATTAAGCTGTCTTATCTCTTTTCTTTCCCCCAGGATAAATATGTAAATCCCATCCTACTAGTAAAAACATACCACACTGCTATCAAGGAGAAATAGCCTAAATATCTAATTGGTTGCGAAAAAATCTTTATGCATTTTTACAATGTTTAGTGAATTCTGTTTCAAATTCTTGCTCGAAAGTTAATGCTTGTTGGTTCTTGTCACATTTTCCCCCCAAGATATTAATAAAAATTAACATTGCAATACCATTGTCAGGGTAGGGATGAGAGAGAAACAATTCCGTACAAGTTACTCTCGGATGAAAATGATCAATCGAATTCACGACCTACACCATCTGGACATGCAACTAACAACATGGATGACACTATGATGGCATTGAATGTTCGGGCCAGGGAATCTGACCAACAAAAGGAGGGAAGAGATCATTTTGGAATGACTTTAGACAAGCCAGCTCAGTCTGCTCGTGATCCTGGTGAGACATTTGTGAAAAAAGTTTGGTCTCCTGACACAAAGCGAAGACTTGAAGCAATGCAACGTGAACAGGATTCCATGAATGAGGATGATCAACAGGTGACATATTAGGTTATATCATTTTGGAATGTGTTATTGACCAATGATGAAAAAAGATATATTTGTGGAGAAAGAAAATAGATGGACACTAGTTGACAAGGTACTTTCGTAGTATGTGTACCAGCTTAGGGTTAGGCCATAATTTTATTTCAATTTTCCTTATTTTAGTTCTATTACGAGATCAGGGACTGTATGTGTTAGCCAGGTGAATATACCCCCTGCCCATAGGTTTCAGTCCCTTTATTTACATAACTTGATGTGAAATAACTGAACAAAACTAGTTACCTCCATATTGGTACACATACTTCTTTCTGGAGCGCTGACAATATACCCGGCTGATTTAGTCTATTCATTTTGGTTAGAAAAACAGTTCTGGGACAGGAATTCTACTTTTTCTACTAATTCTAAGTTTTTGGAGAAAATCTTGAAAAAAGTTTATCATACTCAATTTTTTCCAAATATTTGAATCTAGATATCAACAGAACCTTCTCCAGCTCATATCAAGGCTTACAAGAAGTGGATACTACACAATACCCAGTATGGAAGAACTTGGTAAATGTGTCATGGATGGACAATGTCTTGTTACTGATTTTACTATTGCGAAGAAAAGGTATAATGTTTTCTTAAAAGTTTTAATAATTTCTTATCATACACCAACAATAAATATTTTGATTTACATCATTCGTGCTTTCAACATAATATCTGTGGTATCTGATCAATTTGTATCTGACAGCTTCTTGTGTGCAATTGCTTAGTCTGGTTGAATAACACCGTCTGAATACCTATTCATTAGTCAAAGACTCACGTCACAAATTAAATAATGCATATATTTTTTCGCTTGTTAAAAAATCAGCATTTGCATTAGTATCCAAGACCAAAGCTACCAGTCCAGGGTTCGAAACCTGTACAAGGCCACAATTGTTACCATCCATTGCCACATATGTACCTACATCAACATATTGTGCTTCTCTGGTTTATTCCTATACCGTGAAAAGTTTTCTAATCGTGATTCGTCATTTACGATTGCAACAACGGCCCTACATAGACGATCAGTACAGAATATTTGAAAATCTTACCGAATAAAAAAATCTTTTCAGGTTATGGTTCTGTCTTCTTCCCTGGCACCATTGATCTATATGGTATTGATCTTGATGAAATTGTTCATATAAGAAGGAAAGAAGTGATTGTTTATCCTGACGATGACGATAAACCTGCATTGAATGAAGGATTAAATAGGTTTGAATTTCGTATTTATGTTATTTTGATTGTTTGATTACAAGTTTGAGCTTGCTTCACAGTCAGTTTGAATTACATGTACAAATAAACTTTTGGCGTCCGTTTTGTATTGATTACGTTCTTTCTTTGGTCTTTGTTCTTTTCTTTGGAATATCATAGTTCTATAAAGTTATTTTTTGAAGAACTGACCTTAAAATTTTTTTTTTATGTATTGTGACACAGTGCAGAAAAAGGCAGAAGGTTACTTAGGTTCACTATCCTATTACTGTTGGCATCACAAGTCTCAATTTTGGGCCTGTTCATTCTTTCGAATTTCAAGTGAATCTCCACTATCTCAGTCAAAGTCAAGGGCAATCATTCTACTAAAACTTCTAATTCTTCCATAATCAATACCTATGTATTAAATAGGGCCTGATATAACATGAAAAAATAATATTATAATTTTTAAATTATTTCACTAATAGTCTTGCTGGAATAGATTTATTAAAGAATGCTATGGTATGATATTTATTCTTACTTAATTTTTATAGAAAAGCAGAAGTTACTCTCGACATGGTGTGGCCAAGTGACAAAACAACCCGAGAGCCAATAACTGATCCTGAACGTATATCTTTGATGGGTTGGGAACATAGATTGGAACAAACAACAGCAAAGATGGGAGCTCGATTCATAGAATATCGACCAGATACAGGATCTTGGGTGTTTCTGGTAAGTATTCACTGATTTTTACTGAGATTCAAGATAATGTCGGTTTGCTGCAGTGTTGATGAGGCTCGAGTCATTGCCTTGTCCCAAGTTAGACTCAAACCGCCATTTTATCAAAGACTCATAGTAGCTCGAGCCATCTAAATTGAATTTTCGGTGCTCCCGAAGTATGTGCACCAAGATGGCGCACAACCTGATAACCCTAACCTGGTCCATTTACTATGTTCAGGTTGTGCGCCATCTTGGTGCAACTCTTGGTTTAGAGAAGGAATGGGCAAAGTTTTTAGACCGGGGGCCAGAATTTTTGCCCACCTAGAAGGCGGGCGTAAAAAGTTACATTTTAATAACAATATTTACAGTGTTGCAAAAGTGGAAAACAATAAGCCTTGTGCCAAACTAAATTCAATTGCAATCTCAACGAATTCCCTGAGCTATTTTTTAGCTAAAGCATCAAAATTTGGTTTTAGTTTGGTTGTGGCAGCATCAGGCGGGCCAGATTAAAATACCCAACGGGCGGATTTGGGCTGCGGGCCGTAATTTGACCATGTCAGGTTTAGAGACTTCTACTTGCTTGATATTCTTTTCTGAATCAGCTGCTGAGAGAATTTTACAATCTTGCGAGTCATCAATGACTCCTGTCATAGTACATAGTCAGTTGAAATGACCTCAAGCTACAACTCACCTTGACGATCAGACATGACGAGACTTGCGTCCCTAAATTTTCCTTCGCTAGCTCTTAAATATCCTTCTATAATACTTGTTTTTCTTTATAGTATTTTTTCATTATTTCTACAATATTAGGTGAATCACTTTTCCAAGTATGGCTTGTCAGACAGTGATGAAGAAGGCGATGAAAACATTGATCCTGCCATGAAATTGAAACTTCTTCAACAAAAGTTAAAACAACAACAACAACAACAGAAAGGTGACGTAACAATGAAGACTGGTTTACAGAAGCCAAAACCAGCGGCAGTTGCAGCGTTAATTCCTAAGCATCGCCAACCTTCTCTCGGAGGAATTGACTTGTCTGAAGAAGAATTTATGGAATCGGAAAAGAATGCATTTGCTGGAGAAGGTGGAGATATCACTACTCCAAAAATGGTGTGATTGAGTTTAATGATACTAAGTGATATGTAATGTAAATACCACAAATCTGTTTTACTTATGCAGTGGGTGAAGTAAATCTTGGAGTAACTTTGGGTACTCCCGAAGTATGTGAACCAAGATTGCTGACACCAGAACTTAGTATGTGTACCAGGTTAGGGTTAGGCCATAGTTTCAGGTACAAATACTGCGGGAGTCACTTGGCTAGTCCCCGAACTCGTAATAGAACTAACATAAGGAAAATTGGAATAACACATATTACTTTCTGGTCTGCCATCTTGGTTCACAACTTTGTGTGTGTATGTGTGCGCATGTGGAATTTCTATATGAAGTTTCACTCTTTCACTCATTATAGTTTATGAATCACATTTTGATTTTCAAGTTTTCACCAATTTTTGTTCAGTTCCCAAAGCATACAATTTGCTTTTGATTATATTGCAATTACTTAATGAAATGATTCAAAGCATTTGGAATTTAGGGATGTGAAAATTATTGGAATCTGTATAGTACACAAAACCTTGAAGTAAATATCTTTCTTCCTCTGTTCATTTATTTATCTTCCTTCCTTTGTTTAATTATATTATTCTTCTTTGTCTCTCTTTTTCTGTGCATTTGCGGATGGATAAATAAATAAAAGTCATAGTTTGAAGTATGTTGTAATTCATTCAATATCTCTTCTCATATGCAACATTGACTTTGTTGAACTAATTCCGCTCATCAAACTTATCTATGATATCTAATTATAAGCATAAAAGAACTTTATATATATTCATGCTCCTGTCTCGAATTTGATTTTGTAAATATAATTGTCTGATTTGTTTCCAAATAAAAACTTATGGAAAAAAAAAGTTTTTTTAATTTTCAAGCAGTTGTTTATTAAGGAATATAAAAAACTTTTCTCTGAAACTTTTTTGGAAGTCAATTTTAAATTATTTTTGTTTTAAGTATGGTACTTTAAATTGCATAATAACTTTATCCACTTTAGTTATAATCTTCTTCAGTTGACTCCAATAAACATTCAGTAGAATCCAACATCTTCTTCACAAATTTCATTTGATTGAAATTCGTAAAAACCTGTAGCTATATTCCAAATTTTGTTTCATCAAATTCAAAAATACAATTTTCAAAGACAAAAAATTTTTTGAAAATCATTGGTATTTGAATCTCCTCACATGGAATGATCATGATTTGATGTGTGTTACTCTTTAACAATAAAGTTGAGATGAAATGGATGAATGATTATTAAAATTTATTTGGGTGTTTTGATGAGGTATGTGTATGAGGCTGTGATTTAAATATATTTATATCATTCATTAATTTTTGATAATTAAACAAGATAAATACAATTCAAACTTCAAAAAACAATCAATTTTATCAAATTTCTTGATATTGGTCAAATTTAAGTATTTTCCACTTTATTGCAACTAGTCAAACTGTTTAGAATCATTCTTAACTTTTAACAGAAAAGGTGATTTTAAATGATTGAAATTTAGTTTGACGTTTCCTAGTTGAAGAACTCTTAGTTTTGATTGAATTTCTTTTCATCAATCTACACATTTCAATAATCATGAAAATAAATTTAATTTGAAGCTAATTGCTATTGATTGCAATATTCTCGTATCTTATCACAAATATAAACAAGCTTTTCTCTTTACAATTTGATCAATATAATTTAAAATTTCCAAAACAAAAATATGAAATCTGTGTTGCTTCAAGATTGCTCCTATGTCAGAAGACAATGATCGTATGATGGGTGAATATGACCAGAATGAAACGAGCGACAAAGTCCAGGTGTTATTTGATGTTCTACAGCTTCACAACGAATGCATATTCAATGGAAATAAACACACAGCGTATACAAGTGGGTCAATTTCGCTTGCAATTCTTGCACAGATTCTTCGGCTAAATTGAATTGACTACACATTAAACAGCAAATATTATGGGCCAAAAAAACTGTTAATGTTGCACAAATGTTATATATTTATAAAAAGGTGATGAAAGCATCATTTTTTGGCGATGATGAACTATCTGATGGATCTGTTGACAATCAACATCAAGAAGAGTAGTTCGTTCCCCAAGACAAGTTGGAATAAGACAAACTAAGAATATTTCACCTGCCAATGTCATAAGGTAAGTATATGTATATAGCTTGCATACCTCATTATGTTGCATATATCTATTTTTTGTTGTTGAATTTTTCTGTTTTGAAGGACATCAAAATGTAGCACTTATTTCAGTACTGATGAAAAACTTTTATTGATTACTTTAATATGTTTTTAGTCCTGAAGAGACATCTTCATTGTCTGTGATGAAATCACAGAAGACAATTCATGGCATTGGGTCAACATTAATGAAAAGTCAAATGTCTCCAGTTCATCAGATAAGGTTGGTACATAAAATGTAAATATAGACTAAATGTAATGTTAGTCTTAAGGAATTAAAATTTTTTCTTGTATTGAGTTTCCGATAGAAAATTTGGCAATCACCACATTTTTTAAATAAAATGACAAAGCTACAATTCTCATCAACTTGCTTTGAAAAAGCTCACACAGGTTTATATGATAAATTCTTGCGAGTCACAACCTAAAGTTATGAATTTTTCCTGTTTTCTTTATACTCTCTCTCTCATAAAACTTATGTAATTGTAAGTGTCCCTGGTGTTATTTATGTCTATGGTACATGGTTTCTCATATGGTGCAGTGGAATCTCTTGATATTTGTAGGCTGTAGCAATCAATTATATGATAAATATTTTGAATTATGCATATGATGATACCCATCCAAAAATCTATCAAATTATTTTCACAGTGATTTTTTAAGTCATCCATATTCTGCAAACTATTGTATGTTGTTTTTAGTTAATTATTTGCCTTTTATACCGTATTTCTTCTCGCATATTTCGCATCACTTTATATTCACTGAATATTGCAACTCTCGTGACCTAGTAAGTTGTTCAGTTGCTTCATCGAAACAGCTAAATTAACCCTTTTTGGCAGAATATCATATTTCATGGGTATGCTTCTTGCGAAAGGAACATGCTTCTGATTCAAACAGACTTTGCCACATAAATTGATAGCCAACAGTAGTGATATATGTGACAAGTATTTAGCAGTTAAGATGAAATTATTGATCAATATTTTTTTATATTTTTCTAGCTAGAACAATGCATAGTACCTTTTCACCCATTATCATTACCCCATATTTTTAAAATCAAATTTAGTCGTGTTTACACAGAGAAATATGGTAATATATCGGATATATTTAAAACAAGTGTTATCACCCATGTTTATCCTTATTTCGAAAATTTTGCCACCCACAAAGTTTTTGAAGTGCACTACTTCTTTACTTAAATTTTGCTATATATCATGTGTACAACACTTTATTCTCTTTTCATCTTTTATGCCACTAGAAAAGCACCAATGAAAGCTCCACAGACTGCAAAAGCACCCACAGTTGTTTCAATGAAAAGATTCCCAACTTCAGTATCGATTAACAGAACCATTATTACAGGAAAGCACAGGTAGGGCTACCTTCGACAGTTTTATTGGTTTGCATGTCAGCAAATGATGCATGCGAGAAACGTTTGATAATTTCAAAGGGTTCGAAAAGATTGACCAACACCACTGGTATTGAATAATAATGAGTTATTTTTACCAAGTTTCTATATTTCATCCAGAAATTTTTGCGCAATGAGAAAAAATGAACTTAGTAATATTTTTATTAGGTAATCAATTCTTCTTAAAAATAGTAGGCTATTTGAAATTATCACTTTGTAGGTTACTTAGAACACTGCTGTATTTCGCACATTTGACGTGGCATAATCTGAATGAAGCAGGAAAATTCAATTAGGCATTTGTTAGAAATGACTAGATCAAATAATTTTCCAGAAATTATACGCTCCTCACATTGGTTACTACCATAGGATAGTATTTAGTGACTTTCTGGTGACCTGCAATTTTTAAATTTCTTAATAACAACATAGTATGATTGTCTTCAATTTTTGAAAACGTGATTTTCTGACTCTGTAATTCGGACAAGTGCATGCTGTACTTACTGATACCCTGGAACTCCAGATGTGCTCTCAAAAACAAAGCTAAAAATGATAAACCATAATTTTTTCCCGTTTTGTGGAAAAGCTGTTAATCTGCGAGTCTGATTAAATTCAGATCATGTTTGAATATATCCTGTCTGTTTAGTCCAATATATATACGTCAACGTCATATTATCATCCAGCGGTGCATCAGGATCACCTTATTAACTCATGCAAATTTTCCTCAGTATCTCTAACATTTATTTTCCCAATGCATTAACAGTTGTGTGGCTGACTCTGGCCTTTATATGGGCCGAAGGTTTCGAGTTGGTTGGGGTCCGAATTGGTCGCTTGTACACAGTGGGATTGTTGGAGCAAGTGGAAGTGAAGTCTATTGTGATGATAGTGAATCAAGTGCAGATTCTTTGTCATGGAAAGGGACTGACAGTTTTTCTATATTTTCGGCTGACAATAGGTTTGTTCTTGTTCAAATCTTCAGTTACTTTGTTCTATTTTATTATTTTAATATATCATTCATAATTCATTCAACTAATTTATGGAATACGCTATATGCACAATTTTGTCCTTTTTGAGACATAGGAATATAACTGCAGATATGCATAGTGAAAAAGGGGTATGAGGAATAATACTCAAATGATATTTTCAATTATGATAGGATTAGGATAATCGACTGGATATTTTGTTTTAATTAGGTTCTGTTAATAGTATGATTTTTTTTCGAATTTCGCACCTTTTGTAAGGTTTTCTCAGTTTACGTGCCACATCTCAGTGATAAAAAGTTCATGTACCTCATTTTTATCAATTTTGTGCAGAACTTTTAACAGAACATCTGCAATCATTAATAATATTATTTACTCCAATTTTGAATGAATTAAACAGAAATCAGAATGAAAAAGGATTTCAAGTCAAAATAGAGAAAGTACAGTGTGCTCCTCATCTCTACAATAATACAGGAGAAGCAACAGATGTTGATGTTCAGTTCCTCAGAAGTGCTCGACTTCATGCAGTAATGATCACGCCAACTCCTGCTGAATTTACAACTTCAAATATTTCACATTTAAACGCAACAGAAGTAAGATATAAGTTGTAAATCTTAAACTTTCGAAAAGAAAGATCAAACTTTATCAGTTTATTTTTACTAGTTACTCTCTAATTTTGATTTTTTGATTCATTTTCCACTAATGTAAATTCTAAACTTATTCAAAGCTTGTTCTTATATCTGTGAACTATATTGTACTGTAATTTAAAATTTTTAGCATTCTTTTGTGTATTTTTCATACAGAATGAAGAATCTGTAACGTGTCCACAACTTTGTCCATCAGATTCTGTTAATACGTTGAACGTATATGCAGATGTTGCTAAAGATTCTTGGCAGAAAACTGACCGAAGTCATCCAGATTCTGGTATGTTTATATTGATGATTTTAGGCACAATTTATTGAAACTGTTTATGCGTTAAATTCATTGTATGGTTCGAGTTTAAGTGAAAAGGTTAGTTGCAAGAATTCTCGAAATTCACATTGCAATGCTTAACTAAAAATGCAATGTCCTCTAAAACCTTTATTACCCCCCAACGTGGGGAAAGCCAGGGTACTGGTAAATAAATGTTCCAATTTTCATTACTGCCCCCAACGTGAGGAAGGCCAGGGTACTGGTAAATGTTCCAATTTTCATTATTACCCCCAACGTCAGGGAGGCCAGGGTATTGGTATGTGCACTAATTTTCATTATTGCTCCAAACATTAGAAAGGCCAGCTAAGGGTAAAGGCACCAATTTTCATTATTGTCTCCCAGCGAGAGGGAGGCCAGGGTGCAGGTAAGATTGAAGTTTGGATAAGTTTTGAAGGTTAGATTGATTTGATTCTGTATGCTCAATGTACTTATACATATGATGCATTACATATTTTATGCCGGAGATCATGTTGTATTCTAATATATGCAAGAAATGGGCAAAACAAAACATATTGTAAAATACAGTCTGTTCAGTCATTATATTTATAAAATTGAGTCACTACCTACTGGGTTTCAGCATTCTCAATTTTCAACATTGTGAACTCTTTGCTCCATAAATTTTATTTTGTTTGAATTGTCGACTAAGGGTAATTATTAACTGGTATTTTGTACTAAAACAAATACATATGCATCCTGGTTTATAAGTTTGATCTAAATTTAGTTACACATTTATAGCAGAAGTAATGATTCCTTGATATGTTTATAACACTTGGCCTTATCACTAGTTTTTTTATTAGTTCTGTCGATTCTGTCCTTCTGATATTAGGCCTAAAAGCTTGCCTGGGCCAAGAGATTTTACTGAATTATGATTGACCTTTTTTGTCCGATTCTTCAGTTGTTTCACCAGAAATATCCTAATCTTTATTAAATTTGATTGGATCTCTTATGCTTGCCGACTGCTTGCATTGATTTCTTTAGTTAGAAGAAATTTCTGAACTTATTTATGTAAAAATTTGAATTCGTTTTATTGCTCTGGTATAATTAGGACTTATCGCAGCTATGTAATCAAAATGTATATAAAATATGACTTTTAGGAACTACCCAACTTACAGATAAAGGGATGTTGAATTTGACATAAAAGCACATGTCTCTTGTGTCACAGATGATCTTTTCCAGCTTATGGTCTCGCCGACTAGATGACTCATTGAGTCTTTCGCAACCCCTCGTCAACTGCCGATATCCCTTTTGTAATTTGTGACATGTAGTTTATTTTTTTTTCATAAATTTCATATCACCCACGACGAGAATAAATATCTGAATCTGACTATGTTAATAAGGAAACCCTGCTTACATTCCATTGAACTATCAGCAGGCACTCTTATTGTTTCTCATTTGTTGCATCAGATTATTGCATTTTCGGTAAATTTATACAGATAAAAGTTAAAATTTTGCATGTTAAAGCAAAGTAAAAAAACAGAAATAAAAATATTTAAAGTAGATTTTCTTTCTACCTTCCTGTAGCAGTTTATAGCACCATGGATGGTCAGTACTAATATACTTTGATACTTCTTTGATATACGAATATTTGATTCGTTTTGGACAACCTGGTATAGCAATAGCACCAGCACACATCTTGGCATCTTTCATTTCGGTTGTATTGTTATCGTTCCCCATTTCCTTTCCTTATTCATGTTTGAAATGCATTCAGAATCAATACACATAATATTTCAATTACATTGCGTGAACCAAACATTTTTTTCATATTATTTTATGCTTTCTTTTTTGACATTCTGATAACATTTTATAAAAGTCATCCTGTTTTAAATTTGCGTAAACATAAAACCTAAGTTTTCTTCTGAATTTTGAGAATGATTTATCTTCTGCTTTTTTGACTAAAACGAGGCAGTCTTTGTTTACATGTTCCCAGTTTTTAAAGAGATAGTTTTTTGCAATATGGAACTCCTCAGAAAAATCATTAGTAGTGGTGAGAGGGTTTGAGCCAGTGTGACCATTAGTCCCGGTTTGCACAACCTCGTTAAACGTAAACTTGTCCTGAATTGCAGTGAATATGATCACATCGTTTGTATTCATCTGTGTAATATACCACTGTGTTGCATCCTTCGAAATAATCTCTCTCTCTTCCAAGTTACAAGTTATCTTGTATCCATACTTTTTACGAAGCTTTCCAATCAATTTGCACGATAATTTTATGTTTTTGTCATTACTGTTGTCTGCTATCAGCAATATAGAAAGAGGTTCTTCTATTCTATCTGTTTTAGAGAGAAAAAATACATCAAGTCTAATAATTTTTGAATTCCATATCACCTGGCACGTGCTTATATAAAGGTGGACTTCTACTTCAAATGAGAGTATTTTGTTTGTGTGTTTGATTGTGTGACCAAACTGAATTTACAATTATTTTATTATTCATGACAATGCTGATATCCATGTTTTATTTTTAAAATTATCGAACATGAGTTCTAATACCATTATCTTAGAAGCATAATATGTAGTTCACCGTACCTGCTCTTTTCTTTTTTTCAGATTTGATACATACAGTTATTACAGTTATTATAAAAACTATTGAAAATATTACAAGTAGAGAGTGTGTGAGTTTTATATCTAAAAACAAATTAAAATATAAATTAGCAATAGGCTACATCTGACATGGGTAAACTTCGGCCCGCAGGCAAAATCCGGCCCATTGGGTAATTCAATCTGGCTCGCCTGATGCTGCCAAACTAAAACCATATTTTGATGTTTTAGCTGGAAACTAGCGCAAGGAATTTGTTGAGATTGCGATTAACTTGAGGTAAAATAAATAATGATAAATAATATTATTATAGTTAGTCAAGGTTTTTTATTATATATATGGAAATATTTAGGAAGTACTTATGATATTTTGCTGTTGATTCTGGTAATTTGGAGTGCTATCAGTTTTCATGATCATTATAAGCTGTAGTGTTTTTCTTCAATTATTTTTGTCAGGTCATCCACATGTTCTGCAAAATCTGAAATAATCTAATTCCTGCTAAATAGAAATAATAACTTACAATAAGGATACAAATTTTCTTTGCTTTGCAAAGATGTGCTATTTGTTGTAGTTTGGTTCATCCAATCTTGTTCTGTTAAATTCAAGAAATAACCATTAAAACAGAGCTAAATCATGTAATAGGTTAACAGCTCAATAAAAGTCCTGTTAGACTCACCTATCTTAACTTGTTCAATTTCATCATCCAATCGTTGTTTAATATCTTGTAAGAAAAGGTATGAGTATTTATCAGTATCACTATAATTTGGAATAATTTGAACTTTAAGAGTGTTTTAACCGAATGTTTTGCTCCATTTTTTATACGAAAAGTTGTGCTATAGATGACAGTACAAGTATGTAAAGAATATGGTGACCGTACATTTGAACCCATGTACATTTGAACCCATGCGTATATCCACGGGTACAATCTATATGCGGGTGCTAAAACCCATGAGTTAGGGTTAGTATGGGTTTAACTATCCGTGAAACAAAAAAAATTCCATAGGTGCAATAGCATACAGGTGCAATTGTCATGGGTTCAAATGTACGTGGGTTCAAATGTAATGGAACCAAAGAATATATATGGTATATATACGTATATATATCAGTACTGATGGCAAAGAATCATAGGTCATTTAAATGTTATCATATTTTTAGGCAAAGCAACACATGTAATTATACTTGACCTATTTTTAGTTTCTGGTTTTCGTTAAAAGGAAATTTTCATGTTTGCCAGGAAGAATATTATGACTTGTAATACATGTTCACCCATGCTGTTAAACAGTTTAATTCATTGATACCTTTTATTGCTTCTCTACATTCACTTGATATAATATCTTTTGAATTTATTTCCAAAAATTCCAGAGATTCTTCAGAACGACAATCTTAATACAGTTACATATCTTATGTTACATTAATATTCTATAGGCTACTTGTCTGAAATGACGATGATATCGCTGAACATGCAAGAAAACCATGTTTCAATAACAAAAACTTTTCGACTCTTTCATTAATTGTTGATTAGATTAAATGATCGAATTGATTTAATTTCAGAAATTTTGTTTACTACCATTAAAAGTTTGAAATTCTGGTTCTTCAATCTAAAAAATTCACAAATTTGACCCAAACTCTGGCTGACTTTGGTGGCAAAACCAAGTCAATAATAAACAAGTCAAACTCGAAACAAAGCAATTCACTCCAAAATAAAACTAAAAATTGCATTATAAATTAGTCATATAGTAAGTATTGGGTGAAATTTCCACTGAGATGGCATTATGTAGGTATAATCAATAATATTAAGTAGGGCAGATTCGAAACCATTCTTTCGTCATTAGTGAAAATATGGCAATATTTGACTATTATTACCTGGAATTTGGATTTCCTCCGGTTTTGTTTTCATTGTATCATTCTGTTTTGCCAATGGAATTGAATCGTATGTAACTTGTATGATATCGTTTGGTCGAATTACTTGAGATATAGTAGCACCGTAGTGCTCATAGCTGAAAACAATGTCCTGTAAATCCTGTAAAAGAGATTTTCCCTCATCAATGAATATATTTTTATTTATTGACCAATTTATTGAGAGAAAAAAGTACTTTTAAGTTGGTTCGTCCAATCTGTATACGTTTACATTTGTTCTTGTAAATTTTAACTTTGAATGTATATAACGCAAAATATTCGGAAGAGTGTGTAACAGTGATGTAAAATCCTTTTAAGTGATGCCGGTGTTCTTGATCAGGAATGTGTGACTCTGAAGATATAAAAATTATATAATATTTTTGAAAATGTGTTTTTAATTTACGAACCAGTTTATAGAAAAATAACAGCAAGTACGTCACACATGTCACTACATAACTGACAAGTGATGCTGATAAATCTTAATGTCTAAAGAGTTTTATAATATAATATCATCAGACCTTAAGAGATTTTAGAGTTTGCCCTGTGAACAACAGGCGCACCATATACAAATAAGTGCCTGGTAAATTTTGATTTGGACTTTGTTCAATTTGTTGTTATAAATATGTCAATCAGAGAAAACCAGGAACAACAATTGGATGTGATACACCTTAATGTCATTCACGGAACACTGGTTGAAAATCACTAGTATGAACTATTGTTCGGCGATTAGTACTTATTCAAGTTTTTATACATATGGACTGAATAAATTGTGAAAGTATTGGAAAACCAAAGTTCTTAAAAATATAACAAATAAAGCCTCAAAGACATTATATCTACCGGTAATCTTGTGTAAATGAGTCAATGTCCAATACCATTTTGTAATAGATGTAGAGGTTAAAATATATAAAGAGGGATACAAAAATTACAAGTTATTCCAACATGACAATGTATGGAGATTGTGACTTGCCTCACCTCTTATACTCCATGTAATGTTTAATGCAATTCTTTTGTTTTTTCCTTCTGTTAGATACCAAGATAAATATGTATCTTGTGGAGGTATAGCTGTTACATCCTTTTTTCTTGGTCTTGGAGGATTGCTAGTTGTTGCTGTAGAACATAACATGATAAAGGTTATCCTTGATTCAATACCAAACTCACTTTTATTATTGATAATATGAGAAATTCTTCTGATACATACAACTCAGAATTTGACTTCAAACTTACAAGCTTTTGCAAGTCGTTCTGTTACTTATCAAAGCAATTTAAGACCATACTTTTTTATATGAGACAGAGAGAAGAATATATATAAACCTATAATTAATTTTTCACTCTTGTCTTTTTGCTGTCATTCGAGAAAATATTTATTTGAAAAATTAGGTTTCTAAGAAATAATCATATTTGTTCAAAGTAATTATAAATATACTTTTGTCATTGGTCTATTCAAAGTGATGCTGTATTATCAAAACATAACCATCTGAAATTACATCAATAAGTTCACTTACTAAAATATAATAAACAATACCGGTATTATTTTGTTTCTTATCAGTTAGAACAGTGGTTCTCAAACTTTTTTAGTCCCAGAGCCGCATTTCAAACCTCAAAGTTATGAAGAGCCGCACACAAATAACGCAAGGTAAAATAGCAACAAACCTTAAACGCGTATTTAAAATACCAAGCCATCGTAACAACAACACACGTAACAACTAGGGCTGGGCAAAATATTCGAATAATAAAATATTCGAATGGCATTTTAATATTCGAATATCCGGTACCACGTGACCTGCACCGCTCTGCTTGGACACCTAACTCGCGCGTCTCCAACTCAATCGTGTATTGTGCGAGATTTCCCATCAGCTCGCTATCAGAAAAAAAGACAAATTTGAAAAAGTCGTTGTCTTTGCGTTATGATTTCATATGCTTATATTTGCACTTAACGTATCGTTTCAATTCCATATTTTGCAAAAAAATTTAGGTCAATAGAAAACTCTAGTAATCTAGTTATATAAATAGCATGGATTCAAAAACTACCAATAATTTTTCCAAAAGCTGGTATGAGTTACTTGTATGAAAAACACTGATTAAGTTGTAACCAGATAAGAAATGTCACGTCCTACTCCCTTTAAAGCACTTTGTATTAGCTCTTTAGTGATCCCTTACATCAGGGGTGGCCAACCTTTCACATACCATGCGCCACGTTTTAAACATAATGTTTGAGATGCGCCGTAAATCTCCTGTATTCCCACGCCTAATGCTCGCTTCTTGTTGAAATTATATAAATTTATAATACACACACATATATACACACGTATATGTACTTTTTACAATTTACAACTTCACATGAATAGAAATTAAGCAAGGAAGTATAATAAATAAAACTGATCAATTTTATTTAAGTACCGCCTTTATGAGACTTTTGCTGCTGTTTTACTTTCGCCAGTTTTTTTATTCTTGGAGTTAAGTTTGTTACTGAGAGGAGCAGTGCATTCTTCAAATTTAAATCTGTAAGTCTTGACCTCGCTTTGCTTTTAATTAGTTTCATGGCAGAAAATGTTTGTTCACATCTATATGTCGTTCCGAAACGACATATAAAACCCTGGGCAAATTTTCTCAGTTCTTTAGTATCAATATCTACTCTACTCTACCCTCGATTCTAATTGGCCTTTGCTAATCAGCTGTTTGGCCTAGCGTCGCGTGATTTTACTCCAGGCTTCTTCGAGATTAGTACTTGCGTCACAGCAAGCGATTTTACGCTTCGCTTTTGTTGACAACGGTCATTTGAAGTTTGGATGAAAAAGGTGGTATTTAGGGGTCATTTTCAGCATGTTGTGGGTTGATTTATAATAAATTTTTTAGGCTTGGGCAATTCAACTGGTTGTTCAATGGTTATTGGGAGATATTTGGGAAGTCTGGGCAATGGAAAATCCATGTTTCAAGATGATAAATGACGATTTTCTATTTTTCCAAAAGTTCTGAACTTTTACTTCAGTAGGTAAAAAATAGTAAATTTTACTAATTTTTGCTAAAAGTCTAGAATGAAGGTCATAAAGTCCGTCCAAAAGCTAACGTCGATAATTGCCTGTTGCTTCTAATTCCAACAAGCCGTAAGTGGGCGACGGAGTAAGGAGAATAGATTTTAGGTACAATCAAAAGTCACCATGTAAATCGCAAAAAAACGGCTTGGCGTGGAGAAGCCAAGTGCAATTAACAATTTTGGCATGAAAAGGGTTAAAGATGCAATGCGCCACCTCTAATTCAACTGGTTGTTCAATGGTTATTGGGAGATATTTGGAAAGTCTGGGCAATGGAAAATCCATGTTTCAAGATGATAAATGACGATTTTCTATTTTTCCAAAAGTTCTGAACTTTTACTTCAGTAGGTAAAAAATAGTAAATTTTACTGATTTTTGCTAAAAGTCTAGAATGAAGGTCATAAAGTCCGTCCAAAAGCTAACGTCGATAATTGCTTGTTGCTTCTAATTCCAACAAGCCGTAAGTGGGCGACGGAGTAAGGAGAATAGATTTTAGGTACAATCAAAAGTCACCATGTAAATCGCAAAAAAACGGCTTGGCGTGGAGAAGCCAAGTGCAATTAACAATTTTGGCATGAAAAGGGTTAAAGATGCAATGCGCCACCTCTAATCATGCATTGCGCCACGTTTGGCGCATGCGCCATAAGTTGGCCACCCCTGCCTTACATCCTTGGCCAAGTAATGTTTCGAATATGTGAATATTTTACTCGACCATGCATGGCCTTTGAGCCAACAGTAGAACGTAAAACCAATCGTGAATTTCGTTGTAACAATGCACACTGACTCGTGCACGAATTGTTGCGTCTATTATCATCGAAAATGATTACAATAGTTAAATTTTGAAGCATTTACGCATGACATAATCAAAATCATTAAGTGAAGGGGTGAATTTGCAAATTCCGTAAAGAAAAATGAGCATCACTCAGTAAGTATTTTAGCTATAATAACCATCGGGGTGTTGCTTTGTTGAAAAAAAAGTTAAAACTTGGAAGGAATTAGTTATAATTAGCGTCTGACCCCCTATTAGGCACAAAGGCCTAGAAATGCATTTATAGCCAATTTATTTGGTCGCTATTTTAAATCAACATTCAGGATTCACGCAATTGTTAATTTGCTTTAACTATCTAATACTAAAATAACACGAACATCATAGAAAAGCATGAGAAACTCAATTATCATTTTATTAAATATCTGCATCTCGGTTAGTTTTCGCTTTAAACAGGCAAGGTTAATTTACAAGCGGTGATAAGGGAGATCAAATCCAAGGCAGAGGATAATACTCCGAATAAAATTAATTTGGTTTTAAAATCAGCCTATAATGTATTCAACAGCTGTCGCTGATGTGAGCGCAAGGGTATACTAGAATACTAGGGTATACTATGAAACTTCGATATCCGGCGACCCCTCATTCTTGCCAAAAACGAGAAAGGGCGGGAACTTTAGGGTATCGCCGCCGAAAAGATCGCGGTGACAAAGACAATCAGCGATTATGATAGACTTAACCAGTAAAAAACGCTTTATTGCCGACTTATCGATGTTTTTATTAATTTCCAAATGGAGTATCGACCTCCGACGTTATGGATCCCTGTTATGTATAAAAATAATCATTATTCGACTATTCGGTATTCGTTAAAAATATTCAAATTATTCGATTCGGAAAAAGATTCTATTTTTGATCATAGAGTTATTCGATTTATACATAATATTCGGAAATGGGACAAAAACTGAAACCTCCATGGAAGCAAGCCCAAGATTACAGCCACGTCTGAAATCTTTCCATGTGAAAAGTGCCAGAGTGGCCGCGAAAACGCTTACTGTTGCGTCACTATTGCATCTTGTAGATTAGTCAACGCTCCGCAAATAAACACAGGGGAATTCATTCGACTAACTAATAGACTTCCGCATTTTAATTTCAAGTCAATGATTAGTTTTCAATGAAAAATTTTCTTTGGAAGTAATTAATTTTTAAAGCATAAACAAGAGCCGCAGGCGGCTCTCAAACCCTAGTTTGAGAATCACTGAGTTAGAAGGTCCCAAGACCCAAATTTATTCGGGGAAAAATTTATCTTATTAACTTCGCTTTTGAAATGTAAGTCTCAAATATTTCCATATTTATTAGAAATAAACTTTTTAAGAAACATGATATTATAAACATATTTGAACTACAATTCATTACTTTATTGTATAAATTCAATGTTTTTCGAAAAATGCACAGCAATTTGGACATTGTAAGTTATGTTATACTTTCATGTTGGTCGCCCGTTGCAAAAGTAGAAGTTTGTGTGACTTTCAAGCTAACATCTGCCTGATGTTAAATTCATTTGGCTATTGATTAAGTCTTCTTTCAAAGCATTGTGCTTCCTATGATTTATGTTGTGCACACTTAATATAATTTCTAATTTGCTCACCATTTTCTTCGCAACTCAGACATCTTCCGTCAGTTAATCCAATAAATTCTTCGACACCATATTGTGATGACTTGCATTGAATAGCCTTTAAATTCAATAAAGATGGTGAAATAAGAATTAAAAACACTATGCTGACTGAACTTTTTGCCATTTCTTCATCCACACAAGTGTTTTCAGACCATTTCGTGCGAGCTCCTTTTTGTCTTAACGTTCCTTAAAACAATTTCATTGTTCATTCATGCTATAATATGCTGTACTGGCATGGTCCTGCTAAAATCTCAAATCAAAAGTAATTACAGTCTTAGGAACTTGTCAATGATTAACAATATTTTGGAATGTGATAAGAAATATTTGAACAAGTTAGATATCATATGCCAGTGTTGTGTGATATCATAAAGAAAATATTGCCACAATTACAATAATTGAACAGGAGTGAATTGAATTGATTATTATTCGAAATAGTTATTTCAACTGTTAGGTCTAGATCACAACAATCGTTAACGCAATATTGAGATTGTGCAAGTAACTTGAATGAAACCATGAGTCTATTAACTGGAAATTGTTCTAAACGCACCAATCGCATATGTAGAATTTTTAAATCACTTTACAGGCTGCATGATAAGGATGCGGGCTGCCGACTGTATGCTGTGCACAGGGGCGCATCCAGCGGGGGGTTAAGGGGGTCGCAAAGCTTGGAAGAAATTGTTGTTTCCACTTTTTGCTCAAAAGTAACAACATCGTTTCACAGTTAGCGCATCACGATTTCGCAGTAAAAGCAATATTATTCTGCGACATTACTTTTTTCAATCAAAAATATTACTTTGTGGAATTTTTCATTAATTTTCCTGGCAGTTTTTATTTTAAATTGTTTCAATTCATGTGTCTACCGCTATCACTGCCATTTTGCATATATACGACTGCATTTTTTAATCATGTCAGTGGTTGCTTGCAAATCCTATATCAGAACTCTTACCATGTTTTTTGTATTGAGTCTTCATGTGTTTATAATCAAGAATAAACCACATATGAGTTGAACAGTATCAAAATCGACTTGATATAAAAATTGTCAGCTTTTTGACCATTGAGAAATCATTCCTAAATATTTGAGACATGGGTAGAGGAAAATAGTTTGGTGATGTCAGATCAGGAATCATGTTATCTGGAGAATATGGTAGCCAATAATTTTAAACTGACATTGTCACAGAATAAACTATCATGAACAATCTGAAAAATTAAGATCAGCTATACAGAATCACTCACTATCCAATACCTCCTGTGTATCATATTAAAAAGTTGTTGGAACATGCACTTCACTTTGTCCTGAGCTCACCTTATCAAAGCTACATTGATGTCCTTTTTATTTGAACGAGTGAATTCAGAAAGGGCCACAGAAAAGGCCATTTTGCTGTTAAAAACATTTCTGAACTAATTTTCTGGTTTCCTTGTTTTGCCAATTTTTATTCAGTTTTCTTATTTCCCAATCTTTAATACAAGGATCTTTAATACCTTTTGGACTAGTTTACACAGTTTCTTCATATAAGTGTTTGACGACTTAAATTCTTTTGGGTCACTCCTATTTTTTCTACAAAAAGTTGAAAGTTGTAGATTTTATTTTCCATTAATTTTATATTTGGTATTGAAGTTTTAACACTGAGGCCTGATAATAATTGTATATGTGTGTCAAATATCTCAGAATCAGTGTTAACTCTAAGCAAATTATGAGTGCGAAAGTGCTTCGCAGTCGAAAAAAAAAGTGCGAAAGTGCTTTTGCCGATTTTAACAAGTTAGGTGCCCTAGCCTTTGATATAACTCATTAAAAAAGGCATAGATACTCAAAAAAGCGCTCCTCCGGTCAATATTATGAATTAAAGAGAAGCCTTTTCGTTAACCGAGTTCCCTTTAAAGCGAATTCATGTTTAATTAAAACAAGCGAATTCATCGGCAACGAAATGACATCTGCTAACACCTGCCGGGACAGAACTTTCATGCAATGTATCGTGTCAGTTGCTTACTCGCGTAAACAGCAAAGACTTTCACATTTGTTACTCCTTCCATCTAACAGACACGAGGCAGGCTGGAAACCATATTAGTTACAGGGTGGATCGTTTGTACAAATCCCGTGCAAAATAATCCCCCCCCCCCCCAAATATAAATAGCAATCAACTAATTAGGGTTAGGTGCGCTGGAAATTCAACTTTTCGATTTATCCCTAAACCTAATCTGATAATTATTAATTTGTGATTTTGAACCACTTTGAAAGTCGCCACCGGCTGTTTTAAAAGATAAGTTAACCTAGTTCCCTCCGAAATATTACTCAGGATACTCCCCTGTTTTAGGAGATAGGTTGACCTACTTTCCTTTCAAACCTTTTTCTCCGAAATATTACACAAGATCACTTTGAAAATCCTCCCGTTTCGTGAGCTAGCGTGACCTAATTTCTCATTTACATTTATATTATACTATTTCGGAGCTTACCCAAAGACAAGTAATTTTTAAATGTCGACATGCCTTGGTTTGTGTGCGAGTTAGTTTAAATCGGGCAGAAAACTTCATATATTGGCAAGTCATGTACTTTCAGCATTCATAAATAGCACTCTTTGTAATGCTGCTGACATTGTATCAAATATTCGCATCACAATGCCACTTGCGAGGTTTCCATATATTTCAATTACACTAATAGGAACAATGACACCAAAGAGTTTTCTTTTGCGAAGGTACACTAAATATAACGAGGGTGATTCTTGAGAAAAACATGAATATAAAAAATAAACGAATGATATGATAGTGGATCCCAAATAATTTTGAGAGTGTCTCGAAATACCAATCCATTTGATAAATAATTTTCATTCAACCACATGAACGCTGATATCCTGAAAATTAATGTTGAAAGAGAATTTTCTCATTCTCAAATATCGGACATCCAGTCGCGATATTCAATCGTTCATATGCACAAATCTCACATTAATAGTAATTGCTACCCAAGTTTGTAAAGTTTAGAAACCAACAAACAGAAAATAACTTATATTAAAACACAATTTACGTGAGATGACTGCTGTTGTTTTTTAAGCAGAATGTAAAAAAATTTATAATTAATAAACGGGAGTTACGACGCCCTTTACACATCGTGTGTATTAAACTTCCCTGGTAAGTACTATTATTATTGTACTTATACACCTGTTGGAGTATTTCGGACAATTTCGAATTTAAAATAAATGAAAACCCGACATATAATAAAGACGCAAAAGTAAAATGAACATTTATTGAAAAAGTTATTATTTAAGAAAGACAACATGATCGTACAATTCCGCCAAAACCTCGATGTTCGCGAGTGAAATGATAAATAAATACTTCCCTGTATTCGATCAATTAACTTTAGCGTATCGTTGTTCTGCCAACAAACAGCCGGGTGCAAAATATTTCCGTCCTGTGATATGCTCACAAATATTCTCGATATTAATATCATACCCTCGCGTATGTACTTTCTATTAGCTCTTTAGTGATCCCTTCCATCCTTGGCCAAGTCATGTTTCGAATATGTGAACGTTTTATTCGACCATACGTGGCCGGCGGGATGTTAAAATTGTAAACAAGAGAGAGGTAAAATCAATCGCGAATTTCGTTATAACGGCTCGTTTACGAATTGTTGCGCCTGTTATCGTCGAAAATGAATACATTTGTTGTATTTTGAGGCCATTCAAGCAGTAATAATTAGGGCATGACATCATCAAAATCGTCAAGTGAGATCTTGAAATTGCAAATTCCGTAAATAAAATTGTGAATTATTCGGTAACGAATTCAGCTTTAATGACCATCGGGGTATTGTTTTGTTGAAAATTATTATTAATGTGAGAGCGCCAAAAACATACAGTCCATACCGATGCGACTGCAATTTATATGGTCGCAATTGGTCTGGCGCGTTTATTAATAGTGTAAAATAAATTAAACGAATATCAGTTATAACCAAGCCTGTCAGCGTGTTTATTTTCTGTTGGCAGGAATCGTAAAATACCATCTTGAGACAAATTCACTTCTATTATAAAATCTTAATTTTCAGTTATTATCGTTATACAAATAACGTGCGGCAACTTTTTAATTTATCGTCGACCAAAAAACCGCCCCACCCTCGACCAAACGTGTGTCGAGCTTGAACGACAGGAACAGATTCATCGACGACCTTAATTAGGGAAAATATGCATTTTATTGGGAATGCAAAATAAATGTAACAAAACGCATTTTTTTGTGATATAACTTTGTATTTTCGGAAACGGGTTGCCGTGAAAGGTAAAATTTGATCTAAATTAATCGCAAAAATGTTTTATTTTAAATGTAACAAAACACATTTTGCGATATAACCTTGTATTTTCGAAAACAGGTGTCCTGAAAAGTAAAATATGATCTAAATTAATCGCAAAAATGTTTTATTTTAAATGTAACAAAACACATTTTCGCGATATAACCTTGTATTTTCGGAAACGGGTGTCCTGAAAAGTAAAATATGATCTAAATTAATCGCAAAAATGTTTTATTTTAAATGTAACAAAACACATTTTTCGAGATACAACTGTATTTTCGGATACCGGGTGTCATGAAGAGTAAAATATGATCTGAATTAACCGTAAATAATGTTTCATTCCAAATGTATCATAACGCATTTTTTGCGATATAACTTTGTATTTTCGAAAACGGGGTGTCACGAAAATTATTAATCTAATGTTTTATCTATCGTCTAACTAACGTCTGGAACACATCATTTTCGGGGAGAACTCTAGCCCGCGAAACGTCATTTAATTTAAAATAGAGAATGTTTCACGCATTTCAAAACGGAAAATCACCAGTAAGTGGACAGGGATTCAACCCTCCGGATTCAGTATTCTATATCCCCCCTGTCAGAACTTTCTGAAGAATGGAACAAAGAACCCGTCAAACCGCCGCGGAAGAAGGGGAGTACTTTTTGCACTAATAATTAGGGCGTGACAATATCAAAATCGTCAAGAAACTGGTGAATTTGCAAATTCCATAAATAAAATTGTGAATTGCTCGGTAACATTTTAGCTATAATTATCGCCGGGGTATTGTTTTGTTGAAAACACGTTGAAACTTGAGGGAATTAGTTACAATTAGCGCCTGACCTCTATTAGGCACTCGAGCACTCGAAAAAAAGCACTCGAGCCCAATCTTTTTAGCATTAAGTCGCATACGTAAAATATCCTGTAAAAGAAGTGCTGTTCATTAACGTCATCTCGTCTTATGACCAGCAAAAATGCCTTCATTGCCGAATTATTCAATCACTATTTTAAATCAACATTCAGGATTGGCACAATTTCAGATTTGCGAAGTTTATCACCATAGAAATACATGAGAAAGTTAATTATGGTCTTAATAAATATCTGCATCACGGTATGGACAATAATATTACCATTCGCATAAAATTGGGACGGTAAATTTACAAATCTTGATAGGCAATATTAAAGCCAACGCAAATGTTAATTTGAGTCCTCAATGTCTTCAACAGCTGTTGCCGATGTGAACGAACGGGTGAACCCGAAATATAAAACTTCGATGTCCGCCGACCCACAAGAATTCATATTTGTAAAAAAGAGAGGGCGGGAATATAGATTACCCAAAACCTGGATATCGCCGACAAAACGATCGGTGACAAGTACAATTAGCGATTACAACGGAATTAACCAGTAAAATGGCTTTGTTGCCGATTTTTTAATGTTTCCACCACGTTTATTCGGTACTCCTTCAAAAAAATATTGAATTTTGCCCACCCGTCCCCGCATATCAATGAGAAATAGTTATGTAAATATCGCAAAATTACGGAAAATGCCACTCCTTTCAACATTGTGATTACAATAAAATGGCACTTAATGGTATTTTGTGAATTTGGTGATTTTGCAAATCTGTGACATGCTGCTAAAAGTTTCGTCTGATTTGAAAATCGTGCAGTTTGGTCACAATTCATCCAAAGTGACTATAACACGTAACACTTTTATAGTCATTTTGAATTCATCAATATCATTGATAGTCACATGACCACTCTCTTCAAAGAAACGCGCTGCGTATTATTCCAACATCTGGTTTCAATCACCAGAGAGCGTTTTTGCGGGAGAAGCGGAATCGGTGTGCTTGTATAATAATCATATTATAAACAAGAATTTTGCGGTTAATGCAAAAGCTTTATCTCCTATGTCTGCATCTCATAGGTTAGAATTTCGGTAAATATCGTTATGATATGCAGAATTGAGTTACAAAAGTACTAGTATGTTGCTTATTTGTCAACTTAATACTCGAAAATATTTGTTAACTTTGAATTTTTATTCCATTCAAAATCGGAAAAAAGTGCTATTTCTCTTCAAAATCGGGAAAAAGTGCTATTTCGCAGTCCCTAAAAAAAGTTGCGAAAGTGCTTCGCAATTTTCGCAAAAAAGTGCGCTAATAGTGAACACTGCTCAGAATAAATACTTGTTAGCATTCAATTTGATGAGCTTAAGTAAAGCAACGCAACATGTATTTGAAAGCACTACATGCCTATCCATGCCTAGGCCTATCCTTGTGGGTGATGCTCGCTCGAAAAAAAGGTTGGTGACCAACTGCTCTAAACCATTGTTTTGCAGAACATCTTTTATAAAAGAATATATAATTATATAAAATATTCTGACTAATACAGGTATGTGATTATTTAAATAATACCATGATATGTGAGAAATATACTTTTGAGTTGTTTTCTGTCTGACTTTCTCAACATATTTTCATAGGAATAAACCACTATTTCCTGCTAAATTATCACTTGCAGGAAAGGGAAAAAAGAATTCGTAAAAACGTGTAATATTTATTAAAATGGTGTGAAAAGAATAAAATTGAGGAGCTAGGCAAGTTGCTTTGTATTATAGTAAAGTACTAAGATATCATATCAAGTCATTCAATTTTATAAAAAAAATGATTCATAAAATGTGGAAAATTGTTATAAACAGTCTATTAGATGTGATGTATCAGTGTTAGTTGAAGTAAAATTGGTGGAATACGAATTGTATGCTCATCAATGACAATGCGAAACAAACATTATATACTGTCAGTAGAGGTTCTCGAGACATTTCTTATAGTTTGTCCCTTGCATGTTAAACTTAATGGGCCACATAATTTTTGTGCCACGAAAATGGGCCACAGAGAAAAAAGGTTGAGAACCACTGTGCTAGTTTTATCCGTATGCGTATAACGCAAGGAGGTTGTAGCAGGAATAAACATGACCATACTATGCAATTAAGCCGATTTCATATAAAACTTCGGATGGAAATGGGATTTCAAATCAATATTAGTCCTAGTTGTTGAACCTGGGGAAATTCATAACAGAAATATATATCTGAATATATCAGAGAGCCAAGCTTTGTTCGTTGTATGTAAATTTCTGTTAATTTTATATCAATCTTATATTTTTTGTGTTCTTTGTTAATTAAAATTTTAATCATTGTTTTTGCTCTTGTTACAGTCAGACTTTAATTTATGTACTTGCATGTTGGAGTTGCGTCTGGAGTCTGGACTCAAAGAATCTTGTTTCTTCACGGTTTTGTAAATACTTTTTATTATGGGGTATTATAGGGGGGGGCGTTCTGTATATTCCCTGTGATATAAAGGGATATTATTGTAGTATCGTTATTTCCTCATGGTCTTTATATCATTTTCCATGCCTTTTTGTCAACATTCATGACATTTTTTTGGCATTTTAATCAACTTTCTGCAAATTCTTGCATTTTTGGAATAAGCACCTGGGTAGGCAATAGTTTGAATTCTTCTTCCAAATTTCAACACTGATTTTTCATGTGCGTGTTTCTTTACTAATATGAAACAGTCTTTGGTCATATGTCGATAGTTTTTAAGGATAAAGTTCCTTGCAATTATGAATTCATCAGAAAAATAATCTTCGCCATTCGGAGTATCTGATTGAATAAACTTATCGAAGTTGAAATTTTCATATAAACCAGAGAAGATAATCACATCAGATATATTGCATTGTCCTGTATACCACAGTATTGCATCTTTTGAAATTTCCTCTCTTTGTTCCCAATTGCAGGTTATGTTGAGGTTATAATCCTGACGTAAATTTTCTACCATATTATATATCGTCTCTATGTTTCTTTGGTTGTTGATGTCTGCTATCATCAGTATATGCAGAGGTTTTTTCCTTTGTCCTGTTGTAATGAGTGGGAAATATGATAGCAAAATATGATCATGATTACACTTGTCACTTTTACCCTCTTTATATTAATTATAAGCATAATTGAGAATACAATGAGGAATACTTCTGACTTTGAGCAAGCAACTAAGTTGCTATAAATAGCGACCAACAGTTGACTTACAGGTAGTTGTATTGTTTTATTGAAAAGATTATGCTATAAGATTCAATAAATTTTTCCTCCCCAAATTACTACAGTTACGTCATGTAATGATGATTAGGAAGTTTGGCAGTAAATTCAACTATGTATTGTACATGACCTGAGCTTATTCTTTGTAAAAATTGGTTTTAAAAATAAATCTTGATTAAGAATTGAAATTGGTATTTGGGGGATTCAGGATTGTGCAAATTGTTAATATGAAAACATTTTACATTTATAGCAGGCATTTATTATAGAAAGTCAAGAAATGATAAGTAATAATGAAATATAGTTTATGAATATATTGTGCTGTCAAGTTTTTACCATTTTACTATACCTTTGCATGAAAATATATGAGATTATACATGTATAATGGCAATATACAGATAGCGTAGTTTTGTCTCATACCTTGTTTTGCTTTTTTGTAACATTCCACTATTTTCAACATAATGGTCATCATCAAAAAAATCAAAAATACTGCAATCAAAGGCGGTAAGATTTTTCTATCTGTGATGAAAATATACAGATTAAAATTGTACTTCCCATTATCTTTATTTCAAAAGTATCGTTTTAGATGTTCCGAGTGTTTTTAATGAAGTCGCATGGAATCTAAAACTCAAAATAACGTGATACTGTTCTTTTATTATGCTAAATGAGATTTCCTATAAAACAATACAAATATACTTACACCAAATAATGTAATCATCTTTGCTAATTTGAAAGTAAGAAGTTGAAATAGTCAGATTATGGCTGATTTCTGTTGAATTCATTTTTGTATGATTGGAAGTCTGCTCTTGCTTATATTTATTCTTTGGGTTGTGTTGGTTGGGGTCTGTGAAACAGAGACCGTTTTTAATTTTTTTTTTTGAAAAAATTAAAACTAAATTTTTCATGTTTTTGTCTCAGTCTTTTATGCAGAGTGCATGCCCTCAACATTGAACACAGACGATCGGTTTTTCTTATTGTTTGAAATGATATTGTTTATACATAAAAAGGAATTGAAAAAACAACCAATACTATCAAATGGCATCTATAATATTATATTATTATTTGTGACTTGTATAGTTTCATATCCCTTTGAATAATTGTATTTATTCAATATATATATCCCTGTAAATATAACTAAATTAACATATCTTCTCTAAGTGGCTTGCTCCAAGTTCTTTTACATTTTTGGAATATTCATTCATACTATATCTCATATATCTCATTTAACTAACTTGATGCTCCAGTTTATAGGCATATGCTAAGACATTGTTTCCCGACCTTTTGGAAATGTCATCAATTTTGTTAATTGTAATAAGGAATACTTGACTTGGTGCTCCCGAAGTATGTGAACCAAGATGGCGGACATCGGAACGTAACATGGGTAGCAGGTTAGGGTTAGGCGATAATTTTTTTCCAATTTTCCTTATTTTAGTCCTATTATCAGTTCGAAGACTAGCCAAGAGCCTCCCGTAGTATTTATACCTAAAATTATGGCCTAACCCTAACCTAGTACACATTACATTCTGATGTCCGCCATCTTGGTTCGCATACTTTGGGAGCCCCCTTGACTTATTACTTTCATTCGATTTTATGGACCTGGAATTTTGATTATTTTTATCTTTGTTTGTCTGTTGTCCTCCCATTTTGCCAGTGGAATAGAACTGTAAGTTACTTGTAGGTTGTCATTTGGACGTATGAATTGGTATTTTGTACCATAGCATTCGTAACTGAAGAAAATATCCTGGAAATACATGAAGTTTCTTTGTTGTAATTATATTATCATTATTATCGTTTACTGTTTCAACAACAGCTAAGAAGCTGAGTATTTTATTGTATATATTAACACTGTATGTTTAATTTCCTGTCATAGAATCCAAGCTTTAAAGTAGTATTAACTATTAATTATGAGACTTTACTAATGGGCCATAACACGAGCATTATAATCCTAAATTTAAAAACAGCAATGTAAAAATGTTTGAGCAAATGTAAAGAAGGTTATTTTATTTTTGACCTTACATTTTATATGGCCTATAGCATTCACCTAGTGCCTTGCAGTTAATTCGTGATCATTCTCTGAACTTACTTATAAAGAAATTTTTTGCGCTTCAGCAGTGTGTGTACCAATATGGAGGTAACTAATTTTGTTCGCCTACTTTACAATAAGTTGTGTAAAGGGACAGAAACCTAGGGGGTATATTCACTTGGCTAACACAGACAGTCCCCAAACTCCTAAAAAAACTAAAATAAGGAAAATCGGAATAAAATTATGGCCTAGCCCTAATCTGGTACACGCACTACAGGAGTACCGAAATTTTTACCGTTGAATTCTTATTTTGTTCGATCAAGATGTCATGCTTCAGTTTCTTCTTATTTATTTTCACTCTAGCTATATATCGCAAAGCCAAGTTCGTCCATCCGACAGTCAAATAAAATCCTCTGAAGTTTCTCAAATTTCCTTGCTTAGGAATGTATGACTCTGAAATCATGTATTTATGTTAAGCTTTAGATTCATCACAATGTTTTAACAATTCTAATAATATTAGGTTTTTTAGCCCCAAAGTTGTCTTCTGATGTTGGGTCATGGTTTAGTAACTATGAGTTGGGGTTATGCCAGACTAACTCCCTATCCTTCGTTTATGTAATGTGCTAGTGAGTCTGGGCATTTTGAATCCAATGGTAAATTATTTGAATCAGTTCGGACACAAATTCTGAATCGCCGTCATCTTGTTTTTGATGAAATCACTCAATTTTCATTGTATGGCCAGATTTTTAAGTACCGGTATTCGAAAATGGGAAAATAAATTCGATTCGATTATGAAATCATCAGAAATTTGAAAATGCCCTCTCCTGGATGCAGCACCAGACATAGTGTCTTCAGCAAGCAAATATAAAAAAGTTCAGACTTTGAATTTCTTATGGATAGAACCGTAATATTAGATTCTTTTGTCTTAACAGTAGTAGTCACAGCTATTATCACTTATCGATTATAATCGGTAAGTATGTTGATAGGTATTTGTCTGTCTGTATGTTTGTCTGTCTGTTTGTTAAATGCACGCGATATCTCACGAAAGCAAGATTGGATGGATCTGCTGCAGATTTTGCATGTGCATTCATCATATCTCGTACCAGAAGCCTATTGATTTTGGGCGAATTATGTCGTATAATTAGCGAGCTATCAATTAATTAGTGATGGGACACAAGGTGTCACTATGGAGTAAGAGCGCTGTTTTGGGGATCCCCTAACTTTCGATCGATAAGTCTTCGGTCTCTGACCGATATTCTCGTTCAGCTTTCTATTGGAAATAATACATGTGATAAAGGTGATAGTGTAAATGAAGTAAAAGGATTTTTTCATACCAGAAATTCCTTCTCACCTCTTAAACTCCATGTTATATTCAGAGCAATTCTCTTTTCGGTCCCTTTTGTTACATACCATGTCAAATTTTCATTTTGTGGGGACACAGCTGTTGAATCGTTTTTACTTGGTCTTGGTGGATGCTTGATACCTACAGCGAATTGCAAATTTATTTTTAGCTTATATTAAAGAGAGACCTTGTGACTGATATAAAAATCATTGCCGTGATGCCATCTGAAGGCAGAATCAGAATATATCGTACCTCTTGCTTTACATGTCAGATATCTTCCATCTTTAAGTTTGATCATTTCTATCACATTATAACAGGATGATTTGCATTGAATAGCTTTCACGATATTTGGTGATGATGAGATGAGACTGCAACACAGTAATATCAACCATGCAAGATTTATTATCATCTTTGTAATGCAAATACTGTGATATCTTCTTAAAACTTCTACTTTATCATTATGTAAAACTATAAAAATATTAGATTTGGTTTAGTAATTTTTTATTATAGCTAGAATATGTACAAATATGGGTTATATGTTAGCATGGTGCGGATATGTGCCAATTTTGCATGGTGCGCAGCACGCAAAACGTGTTTTGAATTCAGTCTAATCTAGTATGTGCGAGTAATTTCAATTCCTTTGGGTCGCAAAGCATATACCTAAGCTTGTGCGAAATGAACAACACATATCATAAGATCAATAACCAAAGTTTTATGCCTGCATCTACTAGAAAGCCTATATTATAATAAAAGTTCGACCCGCGGTTGATGGAACTAGTGATTTTTAGAATGTTAAAAACATCCATCTCAAAGACGGTGGTTTCCTATTTCAAATATTTCATGAGCATCCTTGACGCCTTGTGGGCCAAAAGAAAAAAATACACTTAGTGGAGATATTGTGAATTCACGGTCAATGGTAATCCTTGTCATGAACAGAATTAATTATCATGACTTGCTTTCTATCCTTTTTTTCTATTCCTGCCTAAGCTGCCTTCATTTTCAGTGATCGATAGGCATGCATCTAATGTGTCATTGGCTATTTTGTTCCATATTGCTCTTCAAACAGAAAAGTGAGTACATAATGTAACATCCCAAACGCACACTGCTCCTGAGTCGGTGTCTAATTGATGGAGTGCAAAAAAGTATATGTGTGCAACTTCTTTCCATTAGTACCTGAGGGGTAAACTATCTCAGCTTTTGGTTGACTTAGGAGATAGATATAACTTATTAACAGTTGACTAATTTGCATATTGATTTTTTTTCTTTGTTTACCTGTACTGCATTCCGTTTTCGAGCTATTGTGGTTTAAAAATAGGCGCTGTTTAATCATAACGTATTCTCGAGCTTGTCTAGGTTCAATGAGCCTGAATAAAACTTTGCATCAGGGGATGCAATTACTCCTCAATTTTAGAATGATGCAGATGGGGGATTGTGAATAGATTCACCACACTGTGGACAATTGTGATTCTCTGGCTAATGGGTATATATATTTTCCAGATGTTGTTATAATGTTACTGGCAAAGTTTTTTAAATTTGCCAATTATAATTTAACCGATGTCACAAATACATTACTGAGAATTACATCTATAATTGCAAGAAAATGAATTTACAATAAAGCATTTTCAAAAACTTGGCTCTACAGAAGTGGTAAGCCCATGTGTGTTCTCTGCGAGAAAATTATTTTTGAAGTATCAATAAAAAAGTATTATGATTGAAATGCTCGTCAAGCCATCAAGTTTGCATAAATCAACCAGACGACGAATGAATGAAACAGAAAATAACAAGTTGTTTGACTAACATGCTTCAATGACTGTGTATCCAGAACCAAAAATCACAAAGCACGAAAAAACAGTTCAAACAGCAAATGATCAACTGGAATGTTCATCTTTACATTCTAATGTACGGTGATCATTGGCGCGAAATTTGAAAATATTTGAATGGTGGCACCAAAGGCATTTTCACTTGATATGCGTGATTATAAAATTAAATTTGCATGTGTTTAATTTATGAAAGTTGCAGTAATACTAATTAACCCTCTCTAGCCTTACCAATTACTACATCATATAAGAAGTGAAATCGCAGAAGTCTCATCTTATTGAGGGCCTTCCATTTTGCTTGAATTCTTTGACATGTTTTTTTAATTGCTTGAAACGTTTCAAAATTATAAATTAGGACACTAGAATAGAAAATGTTCATCAGCTTTTGTTACTTAAAGTCTTTGGCTTGCGATTGAAAACGTTTTAACGCATCATTTTTCTTGCCAAACAAATGCCTCTTCAAAAATGATATGGGCATTCCTTATTGTAATTTAATATGAATTTATCCCAAAAAGCAGTACGCTAAATGTCTACATGTTTACACTAATAAATCCATCAGTTTGAAACAAAATTAGCAAATCATATTCCATGAAATATCAATATCATGTAAAACAAGTACTAGAAATCATAAATGAAAGGAGATTACCGGTAATTAAAATACCCATTGAAGGTTGTCATTTGGCTGTGCCTAATGACAACCTTGTAGTATTATATTTGTAGTATTGCCATATCACAAATAGTTCTTTTTTACCACTATGTTTTAATCTTTTTCTCCCAACAACCTTCCTCTTATTTGCTCTGCTCACAAGACATAGCCTATTAAAACACAAATTTTCAGTTGAGGTAATCTGTTCTCTTTCAATATATAAACTAAATTGATTCGAGTACCATATTTTTAATTATTCCTAAAGTTCATTGTAATGGTTTAACTTATGGGTGTGACTGTTATAGATCAAACAATTGCTTATGTGGTGCCATATATGAATCACTGATGCACAAAGTATACAAACCATAAATATCATTGGCCCTTTATGAGATTAGAATGGATTTGTGTTTATTTTGCTTCTTGGAATAATAAATTTTAAAATGCCTCGTTGTCAATATTTTAGTTGTGAAATCTCCCGTAACCTTTGTTATGTTTTTTTTTCTTCTTAGCTTTGATAACGATGCTTTGTGTTTTTTAAGAGCTGATTTTATATCCGTTGAGTTTGTCTATAAATCATACAAACGATGGATGCGTGCGCTTGCGTGGGATTAAAAGAGGACATTTTATTATTCTCATATTTATTTTGATATGCTGTGAAGAAAACATTAAAAAGGGCTCATAAATTTTATGTTCGAAATATATAATAACATATATTAAATTAATTCAGAATATTTAGAAAAATAATGGCAATTTGAAAATACGTTTGCATTGAGTTATCGGTATTTATTTGTATCTGTAGTTAACCTGTAAAAAGTAATATCAATAATAATTACAAACATATGGAGTAAAAAGGGATTTTTACTAAAGCATATTTACCATTTTCAATATCTTGTCACATAACAACACTGTTGAAATTTATACACAATAACCAAGGTAATCCCTAAGACACACCAACAAAATGAACCCTCAACTACAGAGAGCAAATGGTCACTTCAGCTTCACAGCTGGTTAGTAATGATCAGCCATCTGTAACTGATAACATCAATGGTCATGCTCAGCCATCTAGGAAAATGCTAGTTGCCAGAAATACAATAAAGATGAATCTTCAAATTTTTTTTATTGCTGTTAGATAGAGTTTATAAGGAAATGTGAATGCCCCACTGTGGTTTAAGACATTTTTTTTCAATTTTAGGTACTGTATATATGTCTCATTTGGCCCTTGGACTCTGCCAAGCATTATGGGGAAATATGTATGATTCTGATATGGAGATGAAGCAGAAGAAAAACAGGATTGTAAATCCTTATGTTGACATGACGTATAGAAAAAATGCTGTTACGACATGGCTCATCGAAGCAATCAAAGGTAATTATAAATATTAATATATGCCACGATGAAATATAAACTATAATCTAGTACTGTTACTATACTTACAAATGTGAATTGTATGTGTCTCGAGAGAAGTATGTGCAGCTTCAATATACAGCTATGCATTCCTGTATTTATACATCTATAGCAAAATAGCGTATCTTAAGAAGGTCCATTAATCTACAGCCACACCCAGCTAATATTGGCAAATAAATAGTTAACAAAGTCATGTCCATTGTTTTAAAGTCCTTTCTTTATTATTTCAAATGTAATGGGTATATGCAAAAGTATTCAACATTTTTACCTACTTGTTATTTAAATTTGGGCAAATGTGCTTTTGCTCTATTTTCCAACATCACTGATTGTGATAATGCTCTCATGTAAGTTACAAGGCGTTATATAGTGTAAATGTGTTTTTTGGGAATCAATTTCCTAGACGACTTTTAGAATGATGTTCATGAAAAAAATGTAGATGCCTTCTGAAGCTCGGATACAATACTTGTTGAATACTATTATTTCTACTCATTGACAACTACAATTTTTATATTTAAAAAAAGTACTTTATAAAATATTTAAATCATGACACCAAGATGATGATAGGCAAAGATTTATTTACGAGACACAGATGATGATGATGGGTGCTTGAGAGAAATATATTTACAAATGACATCTGGAGAGCTCGATAAGGCAGTTGAAACTGCACTTAAAACTGGTAAATACGAACTCTGGTAAATTTTACTCCTTTTGATAGCGGTCTTACTCTCAATGAAGCTATTTGGGTGATGATCCACTGTTGTAGTACTTCTTTTTTTTGCTTATCAATTCGAAGTACATAGTCTGAAAATTCAAAACGGCTGTATTCATATATTCACTACAAAAAAATTTAGGATTTTTTTGGAGATTCCCGAAATGTAAGGTACAAAAGCTGTCCAAGTGCACCTAATATTTGAAATCGAATTGTAAATTATTTGAACCGTTTTTGGCTAATTTTCGAATAATCGGATCGTGTAGTAAATAAACATACAGCAGCGGAAAAAGTCTTTTGACCAACATTGCCCCATGTTTTGTACCAAGCATACAGCGCCACTTCGCACGTAAATGATGACTAGAAAGCCAGTCTTATAAATGGCATCAATTTTAAACTGACAGCCCTACCCATATTCTTATTTTAGGAAACATGAGACTTGCTTTACTGTTAGCTCAAACAAGAGGCTCACAAGTGTCAAGAGTTGCTATAGCTAAACAATTAATGACATGGGAAGAAATGAAAGCTGATCAACATATTTCAGACACTGCAATGAAAATCTATTCACTGATTGCTGGGAAAGCGGTAATTACTGGGTTACAGACTCTTTCAATCGGCAACTTTGGTTCACACCACTTTATATTTTATTCATTTTAAATACAATTGTACTCAATTCAAGTTATGTTCTAGTCTCTTCAATTTTGCTTGATCGCTTTCCAACAAATATTATTATAAAATGATTTTCTCGGAAATATATGATGATACCAGCAATATTCTTTCTTGACTTCGTTGATTTCAAACTACTTCCAGCATTGCTGCTTATATCTATCAACCTCTATTAATGCTGTTCTATTTTCTGTTCCTCAGTTGACCATTACAACTTTGGCTTCTCATAGACAATATCCCCAAAACCCTAAAATAATGATGGCCAAATGTTTTTACATACTTTTTAATCATAATTTGAAGCAAATTCTAGCCATTCGTATTTGTCCAAATTTGGGCAAATATTCTGTATCAAATAGAAATAATTTTAGACAATAGAATGTCAAGATAAATTCATTATAAAAGTTCGAAGATTGGAATTACCATGGAAAATTTTCAAAAGCTTTATCAGTGTGCTCAATGCCAGGATTGATGTCGAATTTAATGATCAATGCAGAATTTAAATTAATTTTAGAACTGCTCATATGACTGTTAGTTTTGTTGTCTATGGCAAAAACTATTATTCTATTCTTTATTTTTTTTTCAACAGGTTTGGCACTCAAGTAGAGGACGTATCAATGCATGTGAGGGTCTGGATTGGAAAAGATGTTTTCTCATTCATCTGCTTTATATTGCACCACCTACATCCCCTATACAACATGCTGTTGAATTGTACAATGAAGCATGGCAGGTCAGTTACATAACCAATGATCAAATAAAGTATTTCATCAAATACTTAAAAATGGCTAACATCGGATATTTTTATATCCTAGGGTAAAAGTGAATTGGGAAAATATTGTGTTGCTCCAGCACCTCCTCACATTGAAAGAGAATCAGATCTTGAAGAGTTACCAACTGAACATTCTTCCACTCACGACATATGTTTCCATCTCATACAACTATATTGCAACAGGTAAATCCTTTTTACTCGCATAAGCCAGGATTATAAGTGGCCAGATGAACATGTTATGTCTATCCAAATAAGTCAAAACTTCCCAATTCCTGATGTCAGCGTAATATTTGGAATTTTGTATTTATCGTGAGTGAGAGGAAATTCGATAGAGTGATCCACACCTTATTAGACAAGGTTTTTATATGCATAGGCTTGGATGACGGAAGAAGCTCTAACTAGCTAGCTGATATATGATCTAATGTACTACTACAATGAGATCCTAGGGCACATTTTATATTTACATAGTTATCCCCTATTGAATTTGAACTTCCAAGGCCATACAAGATAATTATATATACGAGGTAAAGCGTGATCCTAAACATGATCCATCAACCATTGACCCAAACACAATTATCTTTTAGGTCTTTCAATATATCATTAATCACTTTAACTTCAACATCATGATATTATTTTTTTTTTCTATAAATATTTCGTTAAAAGTTAATAATGGAGAATTACAGAAATAATATTTATAACATCAAACATATATTTAATTCTTTGATTTCCTATTTTCAGATCTCACAACCTGGACAGCATACTCAGCTCGGGCTCTTCAGTACCATATCCTCTTGACTTGAGAGTGTCATGGAGAGTGTTCTGTGCTCTGCATGTGGCTGGGTATCATCTCCAACTGCAACCAACATCTCGAACTTCACTGCATGTCGCATTTGCTAGTCAGTTAGCAGCTCTAGACCTATGGCAGTATGCTGCAATGGTTTTGATGCATATTGAAAATAGCAGGTTGGTACTCAAGTCAATATATCTGATAGCATTGACCACTTATTAAGTTACCTTGTTTTAGAAAATAATACATGGTTATTGCGGAATCGTAATATTAATTACTCCTTGTAATTTAAAAATATTCAATGAAGTTGCACAATTTTTTAAGAAAGTTTGCTCAAAGCAAGGTCACATGCAATCACTCAGTAATGAGGAGATTGATCAGTTACAGTGACCACAAGTTGCTAATAGCTACTAAGACTATACGGAATTATAATTTGAATTGCACATGACTAAATACTGATTGATACATGACTTGAAGCAATTCATGTCAAGCAGCAAAGCAGCCATAACTAAAGTTCTTGGAAAAAAACTTCAAAAATGATTTCTGGTGGGTACACTGACTGTAAACGGGTGAGAGTTCACAACCATGTGAGTTTGACGAATGAAAACTGTTTTCTTGAGGGAACGTGAATCGTGTCTAGCTGCAAAACTTTGAATACAACCTATAAATAATAATAATTTATATTATTCAACCACACTCACTAATAGTACTGTAATATCAATCATCAAATTCTACTGATGATGCTTAAATAACAGAAATTCTGTATTTTACAGAGAAAGAGAAATTCATGTTAAAAATCTCCTGTCTTATCATTTGATGTCATCAACTGATGATGAGGTATTCAAGCTTTTATATTATTTTTTTTTATTTATCATAAAATATCACGAATACTTACTCAAAACTAAGTGAAACCATAAAAATTGTAAGACTGACAGAAAAAGTGTTGGAGCATTATGAATGAAAATCAGTGTTGTGAAGTGATAACTTTGAATACCTTCAATATTCAAACATGGCTCATTTAAGAACTCACCATTGTGCTTCTGCTCACCATTTTTGAAATACTTATCGTATAATATTAGGTATTTTATGCATTTCTTATTGAATGGAATCGAAAAAAGCGTAGTCGAGTTAGTATCGTTTCCTGATAAATTTAACACAAATTATGATTTCTTCGTAATAAATATTATTTTACAATTATTGCACGTCAAATTTCTCTATATTCTGTTATTATGTACTGTAATTTTTGTTCTCATTTTCACTCTTCATAGACCAGATATTTCATAATTATACAGGAAAAGGAGGATTTTCTCAGAAGCAGTTTGGCGATTCCCAATTCCTGGTTGAGTGAAGCTAAGGCTTTGCGTTCTCGTTTCTCAGAAGATAAATACAGAGAAGCAGAAGAGTTGGTCAATGCACAACGATGGAGATGTGGACACGATGTTATAATGCGACATATAGCTGCAGGTGGGGATTATAGAAAAAAATAAAAATGTTGAAAACTGATTCGGTCTGTGCTGTTTTTGCTGGTTCAAGATTTGATATCGGAGTTGTATTGCAATTTTTTTGCGGTCTTAATTTGGAATCAAAAGTTTTGAAGTCATTGTCAGAATATCTGAAATAGAGGAGCCAAGAGTAAAAATAGAAAATTTTAACTGAAATATTTTATTTTACTCTTTTTATAATGAAATATAACATATGAATGGATACTATAATTTTTAAAGTACTTACTATATTTTGTAGTTTATTTTTAAATAATAATCAAGAATTCCCTGTAAATATATTTACTGAATTTCAAGAATATCCTGAATACAGAGATCTGAAAAAGATTATAAATATGAAATGTCATATTTCAACTTGAAAATTCCATTGAAAGTGAGAATCTAACATTGTAGTCTTGTAACCTTTAACATTGATGGGGTTTTTACATGTATTTACTTCTCACATCCTTACTAGATTTTATCTCATGCCTTGATATGTAAGGTGTCACAAATAAAACAAAAGCAAAGCATCCTGTGTCAGTCCACCTAAAGATATATGCGTTGTGTATGCTCATGCATGTGTCATGCTGTGAACAACTTTATAAGAACAATTTTGGATACCCATGCTAACTCACAGATATGTTTTGTATGTAACCTTCAATAATGGATTCAAAATAAATAAATAAATAGATTGTAAGATGTATATAAGTGTATTGTATATACACCTGGGCTCCATCTCTCTAATTTTTTCTTTGTCACTTGTTTTAGATGCCCTCATTGATGACTATCTACCATATTTACGTTCCTTGCTGGAACAAATCCAAGAGGGCGACCAAGCATCGCTTATTCCAAACTGGGAATTCGCAGGCAAAGTTTATTTCGATTACATCATAATCAATAATAAAATACAACAATTACAGGAGGTTTGTATTATTTTGATATCGGTATGTAACCATGTTCATAGATTGACTCCCTATGCTCATTTATATTCTCTCCATATAAAATGAATTTTCATTAATATATATATGTGTACATTCTTTTTTCAAACCGATTATTTGGGATATTTACTTCTTCATTTCATTATTTTTTACATTTCAGTCTGATATGCCGATGATGGAAAATGGTTTAGAGGAATTACAGCAAGCAATAACTTCGTTATGTCATAGAGTAGCAAGAATAGAGACCCGAAATGCAAGGGATAGACTGGCTAAAGCAGGTTGGTATTACAATCAAAGATCATCATCAAATCCAATTACTATATAATATAACATTATCAATTTTATCATGTTTTCATTTATTTCCATACTTAAATTTCTAATCTGATTTTGTGGTATTTTTGTTTTATAGAAATGGGAAAACAAATCCTAAATCTTTATCAAATTGTTCAATCTCTTCAACACCAGAGTGATGACATGTTGTCATCGATGCCGTACAGCGGAACTTCTTCTCTCCTTGAAGGTCACATTGAACAGTTGCGATTACCTGAAGATTATGCAATAGAAGAGTTGAAAATAATGGTGCGAAATCACCTGACACGCATACATCGGGTGACGATATAACCAAACCGAAATATGTTGGTTGAAACATGTAAAGCATAAAATTTAATCAAGCATCGTGCTAAGGCGCATATGTCAGGTCTTAATGCTGTTTCAATAGGATAGTTGTTTGTAGCTTGTAGCATCCTAATATTCAGTTTATTTGGTATTGCAGTCATTACTACAAAATGAAAAATGCGGAATTTTTAAAAATCATTTTGATCATATATTTCTTCTGCTCCTTCCATTATCTGTATTTACATGCTGAATAGTGTTGCAATAAACTGCAAATTCAACAACAGAAATATAAAAACTTCAAAGAGTAAGGCGTCGTAGCTAATGAATTCATAAGAATAATATCTTCTCAACAGTCCAAATTAAAAGAATATTTGAAATTCTCATTATATGTAATTTGACATGCATTTTTACGACATCTTGATTATGAATGCGTCTTCCTCTTTGCTATATGTTACAAGAATCAATCTCCTGAAGACTAAATAATTCAGTTTTCTTTATAATTGCACCCAAGTCACTGCCACTTACTTCTGTTTTTGATTCTGAATTATTGTTAGCTTAATATTTTGAGATGTGTACATCAAGGTAGGGATCACAAATCAAACTGCATCATACAAAATTCTACTGTTGAAGTTCATCTTAACCATACTGGAACAAATGTTTAAATTGTGATTTGAGCAAATGCATGTTAGATTTCTGGCAGACATTGCCCAATATTTTTTTCCACAGCTTTGTATTATATTAAAATTTATTCAATTATGACAAGCCTTCATTGTTTGAACTCATTGATGCGTGTGCGTCTCCTTGGGCAGGATTTAATTGCAGAGTTATACATGACAATACATCTGGTTTTGCTTAATTCATACGAAGCGGCAAATTTTTAAAGGGTATTAAACTTTTTGACTCGTATGACTCTTGATATAACAAAAGTGGTAAGTTTATTTCCTTTACAATATATTAAGATATATTGATATGATACGTATATATATATTGATATATTGACGGAACTCAAACCTGCAATTATGGCCTACCTGTTTGCTGCTAAACAATATTGCAATTTGAATCTCGCGTTCATGTTGCCGTCCTTATAAATGAGGCAAGCTTTAATTCCGCTGGGCACAGTGTTGATTGCAGTCTGTTACAAATCAAACCTATCAAAACGGAAACGAAATAGTAAATATTACACACATAACGAGGAAAATTTAGCAATCTTTTCCAAATACGCCATTAGGAGGCCTAGTAAATCGAACTTAACCGGAATTTTCTCTATTTTGAAAGAATGGTGACAAAATTTCTTCCCAGTCCCAAGTCCGGTATCTGTGCCACAATATTATTGGACACGAAGTGGACCTATAGATCGTTTTGTATTATGTTGTTGTCTTTCTTGGTATTTTTCTTATCGTTATGAAAAAGTCAACTTTTCTTTTCAACTACTGGACCAGTTGCTTCGAAATTTTTAGTGGTTAAGGATTGTATTTTTCGCTGAAAGGCTATTACTTTTTCGTGTCCATATATTTTGAGCATGGCCCTCTTATTATTCATTAGCGTTGGAGGGGATTACGCCATGGCCACACTGGCGACTAAAAACTGATATAGTAGGCCCGTCAAATACGGACACCACTATAGCAAAATCTCAATTTCTCGTAATCTTTACCATATAGAAGCGTGACTCCCGTATTAAAATAACAAATTTGAATGTGCCCTACAGCCCATTGTCGCTTTCGGCAATCTGACTAATATTTTGTTAGATATGAGCATTTTTCCCCAAAAAATTTATTCGGGTAAAACGGACACATGGATGGCGTAAAACGAACATTTAAACAAAAATTAATTGAAGACACTACTAAACTATTTGAATGCGTATAAAACGCCTAAAAAATCATAAATAATAAGCCTCGAGAATTACAGTGAGGGCAAGCAATGATGCTCATATTACCCCACCAGACATGAAAACTTATTAATCATCCAGGCATGTACTTGCAACCGAACAAAAGCTTTGCTAATGCATGCACAAACCTTAGTTGATCAACTGAATGTCCTTTACCATAAATAACATAACGAAATTAACCTAATGAAACAGGCAAGTTATTTATATGAAAATTATTACTGGCATTCCTCACATGTGAAAGCTTGAATGTTTCTGCCATAAACACCAGCACAAATGTCATGAAACCATCTGAGGCATTGCTGACATTGTATCCACCCCTCATCATCGTACAAATTGTCTTCACAAAACCCACAAACATCACTATTTCTAACAGCCTTGGCAGATTTTTTCCTGTTTATAATTCTTCCTACTTTGACCTTGCTCACATGAGGTTTATTCAAACTGCTGGCCTCTATTTTCTTGGACCCTGCTGTTGCTTTTTTTCTTATTTATAATACCAGATTCCTTTTTATTTTCTAGAATTGCTAGTTCTTTCCTATATCCTTCACTGGTGAGTATTCTTATACCAGTTATGATCGCTTTCTCACGAGGTGGTTTTAGTCGAGGTGGGGCCTTCGAAAAGGGCAGAATCTCTTCAAATGAAGTGTCACTCAAATGCAATAAACTGTCCTCTGGAGATGCTACTCTGTTGTTCTGTAGAGATTTGCTGCCTAAACTTGGGACCTGATGTTTGCTGAATAGTTTTAGTGCAACAAGGTGAATCATTGTCAGCTTTCTGCAAACCACATGCAACAAAATTATTACTTGTCGACGAGCTAGTAATGTTGAGCAGTGGTTGGGAAGTGATGTTGCTACTTGATAGGCTCTCCTAAATCGAGGTTTACTAAAGTTTGACAGGAGCAAGTTTCCGTATCGTTCCCGAAAGCCACTCCACCAGTCTTTTCCTGCCATTTTAGCAGATTCTGAAAATTTCTTAGAAATTTTGTTCACCATTGCAAATTCATAAGCGAACTTTCGAATGTCTTTAACCATTAATGGGAAGCCTCTCATTTCAAATTCGAGTATATCTTGCAAAAGATCCTTTTCGTTCTGGCCCAAGGTAGGAGACAACCAAGACTCCGTGATCCCGGGGCATGCTTCAGTGTTCGATAAACATGACGGCGAAGTGTAGCCCTTGGAACCGAATATGTACGTGCTTCAGTCGGGAGTTTTTCTCCGCTTTGTACCAATTCCAATTGCTTTTTTCATGTTTTTTCCATCCATTGACATCTTTTACTACTTCTCTTCCATTTACGAAGCATATTTCCTGAACAACAACTCAAAATCTGAGACAATGTCCCTTTTGGGGTGAAATGGACACTAAAAACAAGAAAGCATATCGTTTTGGACTGGTAGACTGAAATGAAACAACTTATATCCCAAATAAACACAACTCAGATAGTGTATAAATCTGACTACTTTTTATTTTGTAATTGCATAACAACAGAGCCTGGGTCTCATGTACTTTCTTACCTGAATAACTTCTAGTGGGCGTGGCGTAACAATTTTTGGATATATGATTCCTGACCCCCACCTGATGACGTCATCCAAAAATTACGTCACTGCTGCGTCACAATAACGAAATACAGCTTGCCAAAGTTTAGCGACGGTCACCCGTAATGACGCCTACGAGTATGTCAACAAACTCAATACGTCAGCGACCTCTCTCTTATCGGGGTCGTTGTGCAGAGCTCGAAATAAACAAGCATCCCAAGCGACTAAATTGTCGCCAAGGAACGTTCACGATATCCCATTCTGACCAATTTCTGTCCAGAAATAGAGCGTTATACGATACAGCTCTAACCAAGGCTTTAGACAAGCAGAAAACACATGTTATTTTACGCTATGGTTGAAGTTGGGTACCACACACATAAAGACTTGTTATTTTTTGTCCAGCTCCAGCAATAGCTCATGTATTGTGCTGCGATCTATTAATAGGGGGGTATACGATACCGCTCTAAGCAAGGCTTTAGACAAACAGAAAGAACATTTAATTCACGCAATGATTGAGGTTGGGTACCGCAGACATAAAGACTTGTTATTTAATATCCAGAGACTGATCATGTATTGTGCCACATTTTATTAATAGGACGTGGAACGCTTTCACTCTATGCACGGCTTTAGACAAGCAGAAACCGACATATTAATTTGCCTTAGCGCAATGGATGTAGTTTCTTACCTCAATAACTTATACTTATCTTAGCGTAACAATTATTGCATATAACAGTCCTGACCCTCACCTGACTTCATGTTCCAAAAATTACGTCAATGCGACTTCACAATAACGAAATAGTGCTTGCCTAATAATAGCGACCATAATGCAATCGTGATAAATACGCCTGTGTGTCCGCTATGGGTGTAGTTTCTCATGAGACTTGAGTTAACTTCTAGTTAACTTAGCGTAACAATTTTTGCATATATCATTCCTGACCCTCACCTGACTTCGTCATCCAAAAATTACGTCACTGGAACGTCACAATCACGAAATAACGCTTGCCCAATAATAGCGACGATTACTAGTAATGACATCTATGGATGTAGTTTCTTACCTCAATAACTTCTAGTTAACTTAGCGTAACAATTTTTGCATATAAGATTCCTGACCCTCACCCGACTTCGTCATCCAATAATTACGTCACTGCAACGTCACAATAACGAAATAGAGCTTGCCCAATAATAGCGACGTTATTCGTAATGGCACCTATGGATGTAGTTTCTTACCTCAATAACTTCTAGTTAACTTAGCGTAACATTTTTCGCATATAATATTTCTGACCCTCACCTGATTTCGTCATCAAAAAATTACGTCAATGCGAATTCACAATAACGAAATAGAGCTTGCCCAATAATAGCGACCATAATGCAATCGTGATAAATACGCCTGTGTGTCCGCTATGGGTGTAGTTTCTTACCTCAATAACTTCTAGTTAACTTAGCGTAACAATTTTTGCATATATCATTCCTGACCCTCACCTGACTTCGTTATCCAAAAATTACGTCACTGGAACGTCACAATCACGAAATAACGCTTGCCCAATAATAGCGACGATTACTAGTAATGACACCTATGGATGTAGTTTCTTACCTCAATAACTTCTAGTTAACTTAGCGTAACAATTTTTGCATATATCATTCCTGACCCTCACCTGACTTCGTCATCCAAAAATTACGCCACTGCGACGTCACAATAACGAAATAGAGCTGATCACCCTCAATGGCGTCGGCGATTATGTTAACAAACTCAATGAGGCCCGCCACCTCACGACCACACACACCTAAAGATTTGGTATTTTATATCCAGCAACAGGTTATGCATTGTGCTGTTAGTTATTATTAGGGCGTTTTACGATAGTACTCTATGTAAGGCTTTAGACAAGCAGAAAGAACATATTAATTCACGCAATGGTTGAAGTTGGATACCACACACATAAAGATTTGTTATTTTATGCCCAGCGATAGATTAAGTAATGTGCTACAATCTACTAATAGGGCGGTATACGATATCACTCCAAGCAAGTCTTTAAACAAGCAGAAGCGGACATATTGATTTAAGTTCACGTTGTCCGTGTAGTTTTGTCCATAAGTTCATTTTGC